GGGGCGCCGTGGCGAAAGGGGGGGAAGGGGGGGGGGGCTTGAATTTGGCGGCCAAAGTGGGGGAGGGGGGGGAGGGGTCCGCGCCCCCTTCCCCCCTTTTGAAAGGGGGGGAGGGGGGGGTCCCCGACGACGGACCGGGAAAAGAGGGGAGGGAGGGGTTTTCTCCGACGACGGACCGTGAAAAGGGGGCAGGGGGGGGGGTCCCCGACGACGGATCATGGAAAGGGGGGGGGAGGGGTCCCCCCCCCCGGGGAGATCCAGCGGCGCGCTTTCGTATTTTACCAGCGTTGACCGTACTTTCAAGGTTGTTTCGCAGTTGTGCTTTGCTGCGGTGTTGTCCGCTCCATCTCCATCTCCTCCTCCAAACAACAAAAAATATTTCGAAGCGTGCCCGCGGCCATGCGGGGGTGCCCGCTACCCTAGCGGGTGTCCCCTGCCAGTGCCCTTGGCCGCTCCGCCGGGAGGCCGCGGCGGAGGCCGAGGCGGCCGAGCTGCGGGCGGCCGCGGAGGCGGCTGCAGCCAGCGAGGGCGAGGCGGCCGAGGCGGCCGAGGCTTGCCAGCTTGGGACCTGCCCCCATCCCTGTGATTTTGTCGCCGTCCTGTCTCGATGCCGATCTCGAGGATCCTTTCGGCTTCTTCGGACGCTTTTGGGCAAACTTTCCACCACCACTACCATATGTAGTACGGGGGAGAAGGGAGGATGAGGAGGTCCTCCTCCTCCCCCTCCTCCTCCCCCTCCTCCTCCTCCTCCTCGTTCCTATGGTAGGGGTGGTGGACACTTGGCCCATCAGACGTTTCCCTGAGACCGTCACTGCTCTGCGGCCTGCCAGACCTTCCAGGGGGGGATGGGCTCGAGGCGTGTCAGAGGCGGCGGCGGCGGCCCCCGCCGAGGCCGAGGCGGCCCAGGCGGCGGCCCCCGCCGTGGCCGAGGCCGAGGGCGAGGGCGCCGCGGCCGAGGCCGATGGCGCCGCGGCGGAGGCGGGCGCCGCGTTGGCGGGCGCTGAGGCCGCCTGAGCGCTCTGGTCGGTGCAATCGTCGTCGTCGTCGTCGTCGTCGTCGTCGTCGGCCTCGTCGTCGTCGTCGTCGGCGTCGTCGTCGTTGGCCTCGTTGGCGTCGGCGTCGTCGTCGTCGTCGCCGTCGTCGTCGTCGTCGTCGTCGTCGTCGTCGTCGTCGTCGTCGTCGTCGTCGTCGTCGTCTTTGTCGTCGTGGTCGTCTTGGTCGTCGTGGTGGTGGTCGTCATGGTGGTGGTGGTGGTCATCGTGGTCGTCGACGACGACGTCGGTCGGCGTCGTCCGTCGCAGTCGTTGGCACGGAAAGGTCAGAAGGGAAAACTAGACGCAAGCACAAACAAACGTCGATTTCCATGAGCACCTGGGGACACCAGGAAACGGAAGGGAAGAGGGAGATGCTAGCAATGATCTATCTGTGTCTCCCTGGGCCCCTTTGAATCAGGCGATCGCAAAGAGGGGGCGTGGATTAGCGACGGGTCCCGTTTCCATGGGACATCTCGGATTTCCGTCGCCGAGCGAGGCGGCACCGGCCGCATTTTGGGGAGGGCCCCCTCCCCCGATCCATGGGTCTGGCGACCGCGCGCCAAATCCACGGATCGCTAATCCATGCTTGCGCGCCCCCAATTCGAAGGAGTGGGCACAGAGGCCGACAGGCAGTCCCCAGGGAGATCCATCCAGACAGCATTTCCTGGGCCGGAGCCGGCCGTGCAGCTTCGCGCGGCGTGCCCGCCGTTGCCTTGGGGGAATCGCCGGCACGGGCGCGAACAAAATAGTCCGGGGACGATTTTTTGTGACTATTTTTGAGTATTTTTGGAATATTTTCTGCGTTTGTTTTTTTTGTGGTGTCAAAACTGTTCGTCCAAAATCCGCATGCTGGGGGTCACGCCCGACCTAAGCATACGGGGTGATGCATCGACCCCAATCGCCCCTGGATCGCCGACAGGGATCCGACAGCCCCCCGCCTGCACAGGGAGGTGCGGATTCACCATCGCGGGCCCATCGCCGATTTGTCGGCGATGCATCGCCGATTCCAGGTCGAGGCATCCCCCTCTGTGCCAGCCCCCCCCCTACAGTGGAAACCCATGCCAAGAAACACCCTGCTTACCTCCACGGTGCCCTAGGTTTCTTCGGTCTCGATGGTCTTGCTGTGGAAAGGGTGCCGTTCCAACACCAAACAAATCAGTGGACGTCCTGGGGTCTCAGGGTTGGGTTTCTTGCGGTCGGGCCCCTATTGTAGGAGGAGGAGGAGGAGGAGGAGGAGGAGGAGGAGGAGGAGGAGGAGGAGGAGGAGGAGGAGGCGGCGGGCATGGACGACGAGGAGGGGGAGGAGGTGGAGGAGGATGAGGATGAGGATGAGGCTGAGGAGGAGGCGGAGGAGGCGGAGGAGGAGGAGGAGGAGGAGGAGGAGGAGGAGGAGGTGGCTTGGGTTTCTTGTCGAAGGATTCTCGTGGTCGAGCTTCTGCTGTGTTGCTGCCCCTCGTCCGGGGCAGCGTCCGCGTTCCCCCCCTTGTCGCGCCCGGGCGCGCGCGGCGGGCCCAGGCCCAGACCGCCCCCGCGCGGCGCTCGAGGACAGAGAAATCCAAGGGCGCCCTCGAGGGCGCGAAGTTATTCGCGCTTCGCGGTTCGGCTCCGATTCCTCATCCTCCTCTTCTCCCTTGGGAGGCGGCGCGAGAGCGCGAAGTTATTCGCACTTCGCGCTTCGCGCAGCGCGAAGCGCGAAGTTGGGAGCCCTTGGATTCGCTGCCGGTGTCGCCGCGGATCGTGGGCGAGAAAGGTCGGGAGCGTTGAGTCGGTATCGTTTAGCCGATCCCCATCCCCATCTCCATCCCCTTCGAGACCCGCACCAAATCACCACCCCAGTTGGGGATACAACCCTCGAAACCCGAAGGGAAAGGCCTATATCCACATCTTGGGGGGTGAAATCGGCCAGTGGGGCCCAAGCCACGCCGCTGGGGATGGGGATCGGTTAAACGATACTCATTGAGACGGGGGTCAGTGCAAACGGGGGTCCGCCAGAGCGCCGGATCTTGCAGGATCCTGCAGGGCCAGGGTCGCATTGACCCGGGTTTGGGTGCAGGATCTTGCAGGATCCTTCGCGTTGACCTGGGTTTGGGTGCAGGATCTTGCAGGATCTTGCAGGATTCTGCAAGGCCTGACTCACCCGGGTCTGGATTGGCCCGGGCCAGTAGATCCCCGAAAAGGATATCCGTGGCCTCGCCGGCTGGGCCCCCGAACCCTCTCCCCGCGGATACGGGGCGATTTTTCGCGGGCGCCCCGCGTGGAACTTATCCGTGCAACCGCGTATCCGCGGGATCGCGATTCGGGATCCAGACGGCGAGGGCGCGGATACGGATGTGTTCGCCTCCCGTGAGCGGACGTTGTCCATTGAAGTCGAAAGGTCGCGTGCCTAGCAGCAGCTGCTGCCGATTTTGGATAACGATTGCTGTTGGGCATCGTACCCATTTTCTCCGTACCTATTTCGGGTGTGCCAATCTGGGGATCGAGGTCGGTGGATTTTTGGGCTGCACAGCTGAGGGCGCTCATGGACCTGTGAGGGCAGACCCTGAAATCTTGGCGTCGCAGTTCTTTCTAGCTGGGCGTTTTCGCCTAGCTTCGGGCCCCGGGATCCTCACGGATAGATCCAGCTCGAACGATGCAGCAGACAGATGTGGTCCCGGGCTTTGGTCATGATTTTTTTGGCGGCGCACAGAGGGGGGGGTAGGGGGAGGGGGGAAGGTTTCTTAGAAGGAGGATACTTCGTAGAAGGCGCGGGCCTTGCGTCTACAGACAAGGCCCGCGCCCTCTACGAAGCAACCTCTTTTTGAGAAGCCTCCCCCCCTCCACGACGTATATTCTTCCAAAGAAGCGGCCTCTTTCTAAAAAAACAGCCTCTAAGACGCACCACGATGCAGCCTCTAAGAAGAAGCCTCTTTCTAAGAAGCCTCTTTCTAAGAAGCAGCCTCTTTCTAAGCGCCGCCAGATTTTCCACGATGTTGCAATTTTTGCGTCGTCGGACCTCAGGGGGCGGCGTTGCAACTAGATGACGCTGCAACGAGGTCGGCGGGCGAGGGCCAGGGAGGGCAGGGTATCGGGGGCGTCCAAAAGGGTGGGTGTGTGTGTGATGCAGGGCCCTGGCCAGAGAGGCCCCTCAATCCAGGGACGGCGCTCGGGCTCGAGACGTCCTCGCAGTCCACTTGGGCTGGTGAAGGCCCCGCCGCTCGGCACCTCCGCGCCATTGACCCCCGGACGCCGTGGCCAGACGGGCCCCTCAGTGCAGGAACGGCGCCCTGGCTCGAGGCTTCCTCACAACGCATTCTGGTCGGCGCCGGCCCAGCTGCGACGACGACGACTCCCGCTTGACACCTCTTCTCAGTTTCCCCGTGTGCGCCCTGGTCATGCGCAACATTTCGCTCAGGAGTGGCGCTTTCGCCCAAGGCGTCCGTTCAGTTCGTTCAAATTTGTGAGAGCCCATCTGGGACGACAGCGGCTCCCGCTCAGTACCTCCTCACAGCTTGCTCTGGGAGGCCCTAGGGGCCTCCAAGCTCAGGAGCTGCGCTCTCTGCCAAGACATTTTCACACTTCACTCATGTTGGTGAGTTGCCCGCGGGCGCGTCAGCTCGCATGATGGCCATGGCGGCGCGGTGCACACAGAGTGCGCTGCTGAATGCTTCTCCCAGGTGCTGGCCCGACAGGGAGCCCCCGAAGCAGGGGGTTGGTTCATAGTTTTAGTGGGTGGGTACAAGGGAGACGGAGAAGCAAATGCAGGTCACATAAGCTTGTTAGATAGATCACATGTTCGCATGATGATGATGCTGATGATGATGATGGTGATGATGGTGGTGATGATGATGATGATGATGATGATGATGATGATGGTCGTCGTCGTCGTCGTCGTCGTCGTCGTCGTCGTCGTCAGTCGTGGTCGGAGTCAAACTCCGCTGCGCAAGAGCGCGCAAATTCGCGCAACTGTGCACAACAGAGCCCTCGCAAGGGCGCTCAAGGAAGAGCCTCGGTGCCATCTTGAGGCCATCTTGAGGCCATCTTGAGCCCATCTAGAGGCGATCTGGAGGTCTTTAGGCGATCCGAAGGTCATCTTGGGTTCGGTGACGGTGGAGGTCGTCGCCAGAGTCTTCGTCACCGTTGGATTCGTTGTCATCGTCGGACGCGTTTGCTTTGTTACTCTCGCTTATCATACTCCTTGTTGTTAGGCTTTTGCGCACACTTTAACTCTTTTATGCAGTTTTGCGTGCTGAGTTGGCGCAAGTGCACCAAAGTGCCTCCGCAAGCGCTCCAGGTTGAATATCGATTCCATCTGGGGACCATATTCGGCTATCTGGATGCAATCAGGAGAACTTGAGGCGATCCGTAGGTCATCTTGGGGTCAGTGGTGGTGGAGGCCGTCGTCGTTGGAGTCTTCGCCATTGTGGACTCATTATCGTCGTCGGCGTCGCCAGACGCGCGTGCTTCTTTAGCACCACTCCTCGTCTCCGTTGACGGCTCACTTTTGCGCACCCTTGCTCACTTCTGCGCAGAGTCGGCTTGAGAGAAGCATCCCATGAAAATCATTCTAACACAGGTCGAGGGAGGAAAGACCACCCGGACCCGACAATTGGCGTTTACTAAACGGCCCTGGGCGTTTGCTAAGCAGCCCTGCCCTGTCTGATTCCTTCTCAGGGTGCGTTTGCGAAACGGCTTCGCGCGTGTCGGGGTGGTTATCATCGGGGTGGGTTTTCGGCCCTCTGACAAGGGGCCCTCCTAACGGGGGCGCTCTGCGGTCTCGACAGGACCCCCGCTGCTCCCAGCGCGAGGGCGGCCGCTCCCCGCGCTCCTCTCGCGGCGCGGAGAGCGCGCAGGCGCCGCGCGGGCCCCCCCCCTGGGCTCCGAGGCCCCCCTCCGGCGATCGCGGGGGACGGCCCTCCTCCCTCCTCCCTCCCTCCTCCCTCCTCCCTCCATTCTCCTCCCTCCTCCCTCCTCCCTCCTCCCTCCATTCTCCTCCCTCCATTCTCCTCCCTCCATTCTCTTCCCTCCTCCCTCCTCCCTTCTCCCTCCCTCCTCCCTCCTCCCTCCTGGGTCACCCTCATCGTGCGCTGCCTCTCTCCGCTCCGCCTCCGGCCCCATCGTCGAGCGATTCTCGTCCACTGCTGCAGCGTCGGCAATTTGGCCCGACGAGCTCCATAGGGGGGCGAAGCGCGCAGTTCCTTTCTCTCTTCGCTTGGGGCTCGGGTTCAACACGGGGTCACCCCCATCGGCGCAAAGACAGTCGCACTTCACGCATCGCGGTTTGGGTTGGAGAGGCGCTCTTATCTTGGGTGGCAGCGCGAGGGCGCGAAGATTGCCGCGCCCTCGCGCCCCGCCATGCGCGAGGCGCTGAGTCGAGCGACCGTCGCCGCGGAGGCCCGCCCATCCCGCAGGCCGTTGCTGGAGCCGCCGCCGACGTGGACCCGTCGGCGGGCGACCCGATCGCCCCTGGCTCAGCGTAGGGGGGGAGGGAGGAGGAGGAGGAGGAGGAGGAGGAGGAGGAGGAGGAGGAGGAGGAGGAGGAGGAGGAGGAGGAGGAGGAGGAGGAGGAGGAGGAGGAGGAGGAGGAGGAGGAGGAGGAGGAGGAGAGGCGTGAGGAGGAGAAGGGGAAGGAGGAGGAGGAAGAGGAGGAGGCGTGAGATGAGGAGGAGGAGGAGGAGGAGGAGGATGATGATGAGGAGGAGGAGGCGGAGGAGGAGGAGGAGGAGGAGGAGGTGGAGGAGGAGGAGGTGGAGGAGGAGGAGGAGGTGGAGGACCAGTGTAAACCCGAGAGTCATCAAAGATGTTGGCATAAACCCTCCCTCCAAGCTCCGTCATAGGCCCCTACAACGGTTCATTTCCACTGAGGGGATTGTCTCGTTAGAAGACAACCGTTTGAAGACCCTGAAGCATGTGAAAACATTATTCTCGGGACTCCAACGCCACGGATCAACCTGACTGGTGCCATAACGCCATTCCTGGGACTTGAACGCAGCGAATCAACGTAACTGTTGCACCCTCATAACCTTGAATCTTTCCCAAACACCATTTCTGGCACATTGACCATGGGAATCCATGAACCTCCTTCAATTTGTTTGAAATGACTGTGCGCGGCGCTAAGGCGAGAGCCACATATTGAAAACCACCCGCCCGCAATCCGTGAACCTCTTGCACACTTTGAAAACGAATGTGCGCGGCGCTTAGGCGAGAGCCACACTTTGAAAAAGGAACCGCCCTCAAGCCGTGACACTCTTTCAATTTTTCAGACAAATTTTGCGCGGCGCCAAGGCGAGAGCCATATTTTCAAAACGACCCGCCCTCGATACGTGAAGCATTTTTTCAAAACGAATTTGCGCGGCGCTAAGGCGAGAGCCACATGGAGGAGGAGGAGGAGGAGGAGGAGGAGGAGGAGGATCAGGAGGAGGAGAAGAAGGAGGAAAGATGGGGGAGGAGGAGGAGGAGGAGGAGGAGGAGGAGGAGGAGGAGGAGGAGGAGGAGAAGGAGGAGCAGAGGAGGAGAGGAGGGGTGGGAGGGGAGGGGGGAGGGGGAGGTCAAGCCGTGAACCCTTCCAAGTTTTCAGACAAATGTGCGCGGCGCAAAGGCGAGAGCCACATTTTCAAAACGACCCGCCCTCAAGCCGTGAAGCATTTTTCAAAACGAATGTGCGCGGCGCTACGGCGAGAGTCACATGGAGGAGGAGGAGGAGGAGGAGGAGGGGAGGGAGAGAGAGAGGAGGAGGAGGAGAGGAGGAGGAGGAGGAGGAGGAGGAGGAGGAGAGGAGGAGGAGGAGGAGGAGGAGGAGGAGGAGGAGGAGGAGAGGAGGAGGAGGAGGGGAGGAGGAGGAGGAGGAGGAGGAGGAGGAGGAGGAGGCGGAGGAGGAGGAGTAGGAGGAGGAGGAGGAGGAGGGGAGGAGGAGGAGGAGGAGGAGGAGGAGGAGGAGGAGGAGGGAGGAGGAGGAGGAGAGGAGGAGGGAGGAGAGGAGGAGGAGGAGGAGGAGGAGGAGGAGGAGGAGGAGGAGGAGGAGGAGGAAGAAGAGGAAGAAGAATAAGAAGAAGAAGAAGAAGACGAAGAAGAAGAAGAAGAAGAATAATAATAAGAAGAATAATAAGAAGAAGAAGAAGAATAAGAAGAATAAGAAGAAGAATAATACGAAGAAGAAGAAGAAGAAGAATAAGAGGAGGAGGAGGAGGAGGAGGAGGAGGATGAGGAGGAGGAATAATAATAATAATAATAATTATAAGAAGAACAATATGAAGACTAAGAAGAAGAATACGAAGAAGAAGACAACGAAGATGAATAATACGAATACTAATACGAATAATAATAATAACAATAATAAGCAGAAGCATAAGAATAATACGAATAAGAATAATAAGAATAATAAGACGAATAATAATAATAATAATAATAATAATAAGAAGAAGAAGAAGAACAATATGAAGACTAAGAAGAAGAATACGAAGAATAAGAAAACGAAGATGAATAATACGAATACTAATACGAATAATAATAATAACAATAATAAGCAGAAGCATAAGAATAATACGAATAATAATAATAAGAATAATAAGACGAATAATAATACTAATCGTAATAATAATAAGAAGGAACAGAAGAATAACAATAATAATAAGAAGAAGACGAATAAGAATAACAAGAATCATACTAATAATAAGAAGACCAATACTAAGAATAAGAATACTAATAATAATAATAATAATAATAATCATAATAATAATAATAAGAAGAATGATAATAATAATACTAATAAGAAGAAGAACAATAATACGAAGAAGAATAATGATAAGAATAATAATGATAATAAGAGTAATAATAATAAGAACCATAAGAAGAATACTAAGAATAATAATAAGAATAATAATAAGAAGAACAAGAAGAAGAGGAGGAGGAGGAGGAGGAGGAGGAGGAGGGAGGGGGAGGGGGAGGGGCGAGGGGGAGGGGGAGGGGGGGGGAGGAGGAGGTGGTGGAGGAGGAGGAGCTGTAGGGGAAGGAGGAGGCGTGAGAAGAGTAGGAGGAGGCGTGAGGAGAGGAGGAGGAGGAGGATGAGAAGGCGGAGTAGGAGGAGGGGGAGGAGGAGGAGGAGGACGAGGAGCAGGAGGAGGACCATTGTAAACCCAAGAGTCATCAACGATGGTGGCATAAACCCTCCCTCCAAGCTTCCTCTTCATAGGCCTCGACAACGGCTCATTTCTATTAAAGGATCTACTTCGTTGGAATACATCCGTTTGAAGACCTCGAAGCATGCCAAAACATTGTTCTCGGGATTTCCACGCCTCGGGTCAACCGGACTGCTGCGTCCTGACGATCTGAAATCGTGCCAGAACGCCATTCCTGGGTCTGGAACACAGCGAATCAACGTAACTGCTGCGCCCTCATAATACTGATTCTTTCCCAAACACCATTTCTGGTACGTTGACCATGGGAATCCGTGAACCTCTTGCAGTTTGTTTGAAAGGACTGTGCGCGGCGCTAAGGCGAGAGCCACATTTTGAAAAGGAGCCGCCCTCAACCCGTGGAACTCTTGCAATATTTTCAAACGAATGTGCGCGGCGCTAGGGCGAGAGCCACAACTTGAAAAGGAACCGCCCTCAAGCCGTGAAGCTCTTGCAAATTTTATAGACGAAAGTGCGCGGCGCCTAGACGAGAGCCACATTTTCAACACGACCCTCCCTCAATCCGTGAAACTCTCGCACATTTTAAACGAATGTGCGCGGCGCTAAGGCGAGAGCCACAATTTGAAAAGGAACCGCCCTCAAGCTGTGAAGCTCTTGCAAATGTTTAAAACGAATTTGCGCGGCGCCTAGGCGAGAGCCCCATTTTGAAAACGACCCGCCCTCTATCTGTGAAATTGTTGCCCATGTTAAAGCCTCAGAATCAGTAATGGTTAGGAAGTCTCAGGCGAAACGCCCGGCCCGCCCTAAAAACTGGCCTCGGGGTGTGACAGGGGGAAGTTCTGTATAACCAAAAGGAATGGAGGAGAAGGAGGAGGAGGAGGAGGAGGGGGAGGAGGAGGGGGAGGGTGAGGAGGAGGGGGAGGAGGAAGAGGAGGAGGAGGAGGAGGAGGAGATGGAGGAAGAGGAGGCGGAGGAGGAGAAGGAGGAGGAGGAGGAGGTGGGAGGAGGAGCAGGAGGAGGAGGCGGAATCTTTGAGGCGGAGGAGGAGGAGAAGAGGAGGAGACGTGATAAGTTGTTGCTGATGATGATGGAGATGATGATGCTGATGATGCTGCTGCTGATGATGATGATGACGATGACGATGATCCTGATGACGATGCTGATGCTGATGATGATGACGCTTATTTTGGCTATAGTGATGATGAGTGTGATGATGATGCTGATGACGATGCTGATGCTGCTGACAATGCTGATGAAGATACTTACGATAATGATGATGACGATGACGATGATGCTGATGATGCTGATGATGCTGCTGATAAGGATGATGACGATGATGATGCTGTGATGATGAATCTTATCATGATGATGATGATGCTGATGATGATGATGATGAATGTTATGAGTCTGATAGTGGTGATGCTGCTGCTGATGCTGCTGATGATGGTGATGGTGATGGTGATGATGATGATGCTGATGCTGATGCTTATGCTGATGATAATGATGCTGCTGATGATGATTATGATGATGGTGATGCTGACGATGATGATGACACTGCTGATGATTTTGACAATGAAGCTGATGCTGATGCTGATGATGCTGATGACGATGATGATGATGATGATGATGATGATGATGATGATGATGCTGATGCTGATATTCGTTATGACGATGGTGCCGCTGATGACCATGATGCTGATGATGATTATGATGATGGTACTGATGATGCTGACGCTGCTGACGATTACGATGACGATGAGGATTAGGATGATTATGCTCATGATGCGGATGATGATGACGATGCTGATGATGACGATGATGATGGTGATGTTGATGATGCTGAGCATGATGACGATGATGATGATGATGATGATGGTGATGATGGTGATGATGATGATGATGATGTCCATGATGATGCTGATGATGACGATGATGACGATGGTGATCCTGGTGATGGTGATGTTGAAGCTGGCGCAGATGCTGGTGATGATGGTGAGGCTGATGATGATTATGCTTATGATGATGCGGATGATGCTGATGATTATGATGATGATTATGATGCTGATGATGATGGTGATGCTGCTGATGATGCTGATGCTGATGCTGATGCTGATGCTGATGATGATGATGATGAGGAGGAGGAGGAGGCGGAGGAGGCGGAGGAGGAGGAGGTGGAGGAGGGCGAGGAGGTGGGGAATGATGATGATGATGATGATGATGATGATGATGATGATGATGATGATGATGATGATGATGAGGAGGAGGAGGAGGAGGAGGAGGAGGAGGAGGAGGAGGAGGAGGAGGAGGTGGAGGTGGAGGAGGAGGACCAGTGGAAACCCAATAGTCATCAGCAATATTGGAATAAGCCCTCCCTCCAAGCTGACTCTTCATAGGCCCCTATAACGGTTCCTTTCCACTCGGGGAACTGTTTCGTTGGAAGACAACCGTTTGAAGACCCTGAAGCATGCCAACGCTTTGTTCTCGGGATTCCAACGCCACGGATCAACCTGACCGTTGCGTCTTGACGATCTTGAATCGTGCCAGAACACCATTCTTGGTACTTCAACACCGCGAATCAGCGTAACTGTTGCACCCCGAAAATCCGGAGTCCTTCACTGCACACCATTTCCGGTTTGTTGATCATGGGAATCCGTGAGACTCTTTCACATGTTTACAAAGAAAGTGCGCGGCGCTCAGGCGAGAGCCACATGTTTAAAACCATCCGCCCTCAATCCGTGAAACTTTTGCGCATTATTAAAACGAATGTGCGCGGCGCTAAGGCGAGAGCCACATGTTGACAACGACCCGCCCCCAATCCGTGAAACTCTTTGAAACTTTTCAGACGAATGTGCGCGGCGCTAAGGCGAGAGCCACATTTTGAAAGGAGCTGCCTTCAACCTGTGGAACCCTTGCAATTTTTTAAAGCGAATGTGCGCGGTGCTAAGGCGAGAGCCACAATTTGAAAAGGAGCCGCCCTCAACCCGTGGAACTCTTGCATTTTTTTCAAACGAATGTACGCGGCGCTAATGCGAGAGCCACCGTTTGACAACGACCCGCCCTCAATCCGTGAAGCTCTTGCAAATGTTAAGAACAAGTGTGCGCGGCGCTAAGGCGAGAGCCACATTTTGAAAACGACACGCCCTTTGTTTGTGAAACTGTTGCCAGTTTTTAAGCTTCAGGGTCATAAGTGGAGAGGAAGTCTCAGGCGAAACGCCCAGCCCGCCCTAAAAACTTGCTTCGGGGTGCGACAGGGATAAATTATTTAGAAGGAAATGTAATGGAGGAGGAGGAGAAGGAGGAGGAGGAGGAGGAGGAGGACGAGGAGGAGGACGAGGAGGACGAGGAGGAGGTGGAGGAGGAGGAGGAGGAGGCGGAGGAGGAGGAGGAGGAGGATGATGTGTTGTGATACGAGAAGTGAGAAGAGGAGGGAGGGAGGAGGAGGAGGAGGAGAAGGAGGAGGAGGAGGAGGACCAGTGTAAACCCAAGACGCATCAACGATGTTGAAAGAAACCCTCCCTCCAAGTTCCCTGTTCGCAGGACCCTGCACGAACTAATTTATAGTTCGGGAAGTGCCCTGTTGGAAGACAACCGTCTGAGAATCCGCAACACTGTCAAACACACAAATTCTCGGGACTCTGGCACGGAGGATGGACTCTTCAGGGGAACGCCCAGGCCCAACATGCTCACGACCGTGCCAGATTCCCATTGCGTTGATTGCATGGTTTTCAATTTTGCCTCTGCCGCTCATTTCGCCGTCTCTGCTCTCGTCTCCCTTCCCGCGCCGCTCCCCCTGCCATACGCCGAGAGTAGACTGCTGGCACCATGGTGCTTTAAGCAGTGCGAAAGAAAGAACAGGACGCACTCTTCGTTCGCGACCGCCGTTCTCGCAGTCGGCGCGCCAGTCGTGATCTTGAGGACTGCCGGAGGTGCCCAGAGCCAAGAGTTGTCATGAAGGACGCCCAACTGGGGTCCGAGCAGATGCGGTCGAAGGATCGCGCCGCATCGGCGATGCTGCGGCTGCGGCGGCGTGGAGAAGCTCTGGCTTTCACATCGCGCCGCATCGCCGATGGATCTGCGGTGCGGCGCAATCCACCGTCCCCCAGCTGCCTCGACCCCGTTTGGGCGGCCCGGGTGCGAGGAGGGCGGAGGGTCGAGGCGTGGGAGAGAGGCGCGGCCCTGCCGTCGCCGACGGCTCCGTCGCGTCAGGACCCGCGGCTCCGTGGATGCCGCGCAGCTGCAGTCGTGAGCCGGGCGTCGACGCAGGGAACAAAAGGCGCGAGCACAGCGTCGCCTCGCTGTCTTCGGCGTGCCGCTTTCGTTGCCCCGCTCTGCGTTCGGGCGCCCGCGCGCGGCCGTTCTGTCTCCGTTCTCGCGGGCGGCGGTCTGGAGCGGAAGCGGGCAGCTTTCGGGGGGGGCGACCTTCCATTTTCGTCGTTGACACCGCAAGCAGTGCTCAGAACAGTAAGGGCGTTTGGCTCGCGCCCTGGTCGTAGGTGGTGGTCTGGTGAAGCATGAGTGTCATAGGCAGGGCAGAGCTGTCGCACGTAGGGCGCAAGTGCGGGCCGAAAACCATAATCGGGTCTCTGAGTGAGGAGCGCATTGTATTCCGATCTCAGGCCTGAGGCCTAGCCCATCCAGGGGAGTCTGGACGTCTTGATCTTCGGCCGCACTGTCCGTCCCTCGTCGGTGGCGTCGGCTTGGCGATGGCGATCTCTCAGCGCATCTCCCCCTCTTCCCCTCCCCCTTCCCCACCTCTCACCTCGAGGCGTGCCAGTGCAGCGCCGCCTAAAGTTCGTGTCGATGCGATTTGATTCGCCGTCTGGGGCCGCGATTCCGATTCAATTCGATTCGAGTCGACCCACTGGCATCGGCCAGAGCCAGCCGGAGCCAGGCGTGGCGATCCGATCTCGACCCGATTCGGGGTGATCCGCTGGTGATCCGATCCGTTTCCGATCTGGTCCGATTTCGCGATTCGAGCCAGCTCATGCTTACCGGTGCAGGGGGTGGGGCGATGTTGGTGGGTGTCTTTCAGGTCTTGAGCCAGACTGACGTCGAGCTGGCCGCTGCCCAGCCCGAGGCCGAGGGGTCCGACCGCACGACGGACAGCGCGGAGGTGCTGTGCTCTCTGCCTCCTGTATGTGACTCACCCTCCTTCCTCTCCCTCCTCCTCCTCCTCCTCCTCCTCCTCCTCTACTTCTTCTCCTCCTCCTCTTCTTCCCTCTTCCTCCTCTTCCTCCTCATCCTCATCCCTTCTCCTCCTCTCTCCTCCCTCCTCCTCTCCCCTCCTTCCTCAGCCATTCCTCTCAGGCAGGGGGGTTCCCGAGATGTTGGCGGTCAACCTAGGAGTGGCACTGCCCCCACGAGCCGCCATCAGCCAGGCGATGGCCGTCTCCCCCCTCGTTCCGCTCCCGGCTCCTCTTTCCCTGCCGCCCTCGCCCTGTCATAGGCGCCATCGGATTCAAGTGTGGCACCTTGCCGTTCCTCTCGGGGGAGCCATGGGAGTTCACGCTGTGGGTACAGCCCGACCAGGAGGCCCGACGTCAACGCCCCCGGGGGGACCAGGCCTCAGGATGTCAGCACCACAGAGCCGACGCCATCAGCTACGCAGCAGGGATCAAAGCGCAGGAGGACGCGGTACGGCAGCTGCGAGAGCTGCAGGTCAGCGGCGACTGCGCGCACAGAGCGGAACCGCTGGGGCATGCTGGCCAGCACTGACAAGCGTCATCAGCTACTACGCTGGAATCGGCGCAAGAAGGAGAGAGAGGCCAGCTTTACCACTGCAACTCAGCGAGACGTGGAAGGCGAAGCAGGAGCCCGGTCTCATCAGCTAAAGTGCGGGGGTCAGGGCGTGCGAGAACGGCGATCAGCGACAGTCAGCTCTGGCACCACTCTGCGAGAAGCTCGAGAATAATCTGGAGCCCGACATCGTTGGCACCAGCACTAGGTACAGCGTGCGCGAGAAGGGCGAGTAGTGGCAGCAGTCTCTGCCGCTGCGCAAAACGGCGTGGAAGGCGAAGCTAGGGCCCGATGACACCAGCTAGAGCGGTGGGATCAGGGCGTTCGAGAAGGGCAAACAGTGGCGGGGTGCTCCGGCATTACTCCGCGAATAGTGGGGGGCGACGTTGAAGCCCAAACTCGTCACCAACAGCGCTGAGAGGGGCGAGAGAGTGCGAGCCGACGTCATCAGCACCAGCGCTGGGAGTAGTTCATGCGACACGGGGCGAGCCGACAAACGTGATCGGGAATAGCGGCGGGATCAGCTCGTGCGAAGGAGGCTCAAGGGTGTGCGTGCGAACGCGGCAGGCGCGGGCGAAATTCGGCCGCGAGTTATTCGGGGCGTCTGCGCCTCCCGGTAATTAAGTCCTCCTTCCTCCCTCCTCCTCCCTCCCTCCTCCCTCCTCCCTCCTCTCTCCTCCCTCTTCCTCCTTCCTTCTCCTCCTCCTTATACATACATTCTCCATGTCCTCCATTCCTCTTCCTCTTCCCTCTTCCTCTTTCTCTTCCTCCATTCCTTTTCCTTATACATAGATTCTCCATGTCGCACCCCGAGGCTAGTTTTTAGGGCGGGCCAGGCGTTTCGCCTGAGACTTCCTCACCATTCATGACCCTGAAGCTTCACAATTGACAACAGTTTCACAGATGGAGGGCGGGTCGTTTTCAACATGTGGCTCTCGCCTTAGCGCCGCGCACATTCGTTTTAGACATGTGTAAGAGTTTCACGGATCGAGGGGAGGGCGGCTGCTTTTCAAAATGTGGTTCTCGCCTTAGCGCCGCGCACTCGTGCGAAAAAGTTAAAAGAGTTTCGCGGATTGAGGGCGAGTGGTTCTCAACATGTGGCTCTCGCCTTAGCGCCGCTCACATTCGCTTTAAACATGTGTAAGAGTTTCACGGATTGAGGGCGGCTCCTTTTCAAAATGTAGTTCTCGCCTTGGCGCCTCGCGCATTCATTCTTTACATTTGCACGAGTTTCACCGGTTCCCATGATCAGCGTACCAGACATGGTGTTCTGGAAGGGTTCAGGATTAGGAGGGTGCAACAGCTACGTTGATTCGCTGTGTTGACGTCCCAGGAATTGTGTTCTGGCAAGATTCAAGATCGTCAAAACGTAACAGTCAGGTTGCTCCGTGGCGTTGGAATCCCGAGAGCAATGTTTTGGCATGCTTCAGGGTCTTCAAATAGTTTCCTTCCAACGAGGCAACCCACTCAGTGGAAAGGAACCGTTGTAGGGGCCTATGAAGAGGGAGCTTGGAGGGAGGACTTATTCAAAAATTCGTTGATGACTCTTGAGTTTCCACTGGTCCTTCTCCTCCTCCTCGTCCCCCCCCTGGGGTTTAGGAGGCTGGGTGACTGCATTGGAGATGGTGGTATCCCCCCTTCCCTTCTCTCTTTGCTCTTCCCTCCTCCCCCTCCTCCTCCTCCTCCTCCTCCTCCTCCTCCTTCTCCTCCCCCTCCTCCTCCTCCTCCGCCTCCTCCGTCTCCGTCTCCGTCTCCGTCTCCGTCTCCGTCTCCGTCTCCGTCTCCGTCTCCGTCTCCGTCTCCGTCTCCGTCTCCGTCTCCTCCTCCTCCTCCTCCTCCTCCTCCTCCTCCTCCTCCCCCTCCTCCGCCTGGGGGTTGGGAGGCTGTCTGCGTGCATTGGAGATGTTGGTGTCTCCATTGCGGTCACCATGCTCTTCCTCTGTTGGCTCGCTCTTTCCATCGTACTCACGAACCGGTTTCTTCCGAGCGTGCTGGAGCAGATAATGCTGAGGTTGCAAAAACGATGAGGTGAACGGTGTGAGGGGAAACAGGCTATCATCGAAGGAGCCTGCGGCGAATCACCGCCGCCCCCTGCCTTTCGGAACCGCTCATGCCGGCCACGCAATTGGACTATGAGTTCCCCCAGCCGTTGTGGGACACCAGACACCATTGGGGATCATTTGGGAGAGGAAGAGAGGAGGAAGTGGAGGAAGACGAGGAGGAGGCGGAGGAGGAGAAAAAGTAGAGGAGGAGGAGGAGGAGGAGGAGAGGAGGAGGAGGAGGAGGAGGAGGAGGAGGAGGAGGAGGAGGAGGAGGGGAGGAGGAGGAGGAGGACGATGAGGGGGAGGGGAAGGAGGAGGAGGAGGAGGAGAGGAGGAGGAGGAGGAGGAGGAGGAGGAGGACGGAGGGGGGGGGGGGGAGGAGAGCAGGAGGAGGAGGAGGAGGAGGAGGAGGAGGAGGAGGAGGATGAGGACGATGAGGGGGAGGAGGAGGAGGAGGAGGAGGAGGAGGAGGAGGAGGAGGAGGAGGAGGGGGAGGAGGAGGAGGAGGAGGAGGAGGAGGAGGAGGGGGAGGAGGAGGAGGAGGAGGAGGAGGAGGAGGAGGGAGGTCTATTGGGCAGTCCTGGGGCCGTCTTGGGGCCCTCTTTGGCCGTCTTGGGGCCCTCTTGGGCCGTCTTGCGGGCCTCTTGGGGGCCTCTTGGGCCGTCTTGGGGCGCCCTTCGCATCAGGGAATGAGCTCCTGGGAATATTGAAAACATCTTCGGCAGTGGACGAGGCAACGAACGCGGCGCCATGCGCGCCGGCGCCTTCGTGGCCGACGAAGGGTGCCAACCTATGCCAGGAAACGGTCCATTCCTGGGGGGTTCAGCAGGCGACACTCGCGAGTGAGCGACGCTCTCCCCTTGGGTCGTCGGATCTTAAGGTTTGATATGACCATTGTGAAAGATGGAATACAACCATGGTCTTCAGAATAATCGCTTCCAGCTCAAGGTCTTTATTGATCCGATCACCAATGTCAACGAGTTGCACAAGCGAGCCGTTCAGCGTCATGCTTGTGACTTGCTCGCTACTGAGTGGGTCTACGCGAGGATCTGACTGCAGCGCCACGGAAACTTGTCTGGTTGGTTGTATACAGAGTGCTTTGCAAACGGTGCGGGCGTGGATAATTTGTATTCAATAACTGCGCGGGGTTGGTCGTGCCGTCCTGAAGACAATTTGCGACGACCTGGGCAGGGACGGTCGATGATACATGGATTCCGAAACCGCCTCGGACGTTGCACAACAATGGGCTCAGGGGCGGGACAGAAAAAACGATGTTGCTTTCGACCGGTATGTGATGCCCTGGTATTGACCGCGTCATTTCACCGCGATTTATTTTCCGAGTGGAACATTTTCAATGTAAGAAGGGATGGTTGACCTTCATACTTTCTTCCCTACATCGAGGATCTACTATATTGGGCGCCAGCATTCCGATCGTGGAACACCACCTTCGAGGAGACGACCCATACCCGGAGGTGACCGTGCCGGGGTTTTCATGATCGAGGCTGGCGCATGATGCCGAGTGCCCGCACGGAATTTGGTTTGAAAGGGCCAGTAACGACCTCACGTCCTAACGTCTGGCACGCCGTGCACGCCTGGGGCAAGCCACAGGGGGCGGCGGAGCCGGTGGCCTCCAGCCCATCCGACCACCGTGCTTGGGCTGTAGGTCAACTGCATCTTGGATGCTGGTGGGGATCTTTTTGGAGGCTCCTCGGAAGCCTCTTCGAGGCTGTTTTGGGGTGTGGGGCCTCTTGAGGGCCTCTTGGGGCCTGATTTGGGCCTCTTGGGGTCTCCTGGAGCTTCTGGCGGGCCTGCTGGGGGCCTGCAGGCGGTTTCGGGGGTCATCTTGGGGCAGAGAGCTCGACATGGTGGTTCGTGTTCTCCATTTGTGGCCTCTCTTGGGCCCCTTTTGGGCCCTCTTGGAGGCGTTTTGGGCCGTCTTTGGGCCCTTGGAGGCCGTCTGGGGGTTTTCTTGGGCCTCATGGGCTGTCTTGGAACCATTTTGGGGGCCTCCAAGGCCGCCTGGGGGCGTCGAAAGTCAGAGGAGGGAGAACGCTAACCTCTGTCAAACAACCAAAGGGGAATCAATGATTTGGACACCTCGTTGCTCTCTTGGGAGTTCTCTTGGAGCCCTCTTGGGGCGTCTTCGGGGCTTCTTGGGCCGTCATGAGGCCATATTCGGACGTTTTGGATCGCTCGTGGGCCGTCTCGATACCCTCCCGTGGGCCGTTTTGGGGGCCTCTTGGGGTCCTGTTAGCCCTTCTTCAATCGCTTCGCTCATTCCGCCGGCCCACGTTGCATGATCGCTACTGCTTCGCTGTGGGCCCAGGGCCATTGTGGCGCCGCCGAGGAGGAGGAGGAAGATGAGGATGGGGAAGGGGAGGGGAGGAGGAGGAGAGGATGAGAAGGAGAGGAGGAGGATGAAGATAAGGAGGAGGAGGAGGAGGAGGAGGAGGAGGAGGAGGAGGAGGAAGAAGGGGAAGGAGAAGGGGCGGAGGAGGAAGCCTCTCGTTGGCATCTTGTGTTGCTCTTGGGGCCAAACGGGGTCGTCGTCAAGATGCTTCTTTGGGAGGCCTCTCGGGGTCTTTTGAGAAGCCGTTCGGGGGCGCCTGGGAAGCATTTTTGATCTTCTGGGGCCTCTTGGGGCCTCTTTTGGGCCTCCTGGGGGCCTCTTGGGGGCTTCTTGGGGGCCTCTTGGCGGCATCTTGGGGCCTCTTGGGGGCCTCTTGGGGGCCTCTCGGGGCTCCTCCTGGGCCCTCTTGGAGCGGAAGGCTAGAGTTTTCGGTTCGTGGTCCCCCTCTTGGGCCCCTCTTGGGGCCGTCTTGGGGCCGTCTTGGGCCGTCTTGGGCGCCTCTTGGGTCGTCTCGGGGCCCTCTTGGGCCCTCTTGGGGCCCTCTTGGAAGCCTCTTGGCCCGTCTTGGGGCGCTCTTGGGGGCCTCTTGGGCCGTCTTGGAGCATCGGATGGCCGAAAAGGCAACAAGGCCACAATCCTTCCAAAACCAGCGTAAAATTGATGATTTTGGCCTGTCGCGCCCTCTTGTGAGGCCTCTTGGAGGCCACTTGCAGGCCTCTTGGGCCGTCTTGGGGTCATCATCGGCGTCTTGGAGCGCTCTTTGGGCGTCTCGGGGGCCTCTTGGACTGTCTGGGGGACCCCTTGGGGCCCTCTTGGACCGATTTGGAGCCCTCTGGGGCTCCGAGAAAGAGTTCCCGGCATCCTCGGACCGGGCTTGCTGGAGGTCTGCCAGGGTACTTCTTGTCCGGGGGCCCGAAGGGCCCGCCCCGCGCGCGCGAACTGGAAAGATTGTTTACCAGCTACCGGAGATCTTAGCACGCCTCTGGCCCTCCTCCTCCTCCTCCTCCTCCTCCTCCTCCTCCCCCTCCTCCTCCTCCTCCTCCCCCTCCTCCTCCTCCTCCTCCGCCCGTTGGGCCCGCGAATTAGGGCCCCCTTGCATCCAGAAAGTCTAGCCAGAGCACGCACCAGCATGCGAGACGCCCCAGAGAATCTGTGGACCTTGGGCCTGGGTCCCCAGATGCCGATATCTTCGGGACAAAGGAGGGATAGTTCAAGGGAGCTGAGGACGCTCCAATTCGTGCCTCGCGGCGCGGTGGTGGAGTTTTGATAGCGGTGCGCACATTTGCAATGCGCACTCACGTCTGCCGAATCCTCCCTCTCGAGATCTGTTCTTTGTCGTTATCTTGCCTGGCCAGGCCGAAGTCACAGATTGTCCTGGTGCCAGTCTGTGCCCTGCTAGGTCTCTTCGCACCCCTCTTCCGCGCCCCCGAGACAGAGGCTTACACCAAGCAGCCTGCACCACAGGGCTTGCACCACGTAGCCGACACCACAGCGCCATGGGCGGCAGACTGCGCCGAGGGGGCCCGCGCAAAGGGCACCCGACGCTCTCTTCCTTCGCGCCTGCCCGCTTTCGCATCTGGATCTGCACGAGCCCTCGCGCGGCCGCCAGCGAGCTCGCTCGCCGCAGTCCGTCCACCTCGGCGGGGGGCCCCAGCTATAAACCTGCACCGGGCCTGGCCAGGCCGATCTTACGCCCAGGATCGGTGTACATGCCTTCGTGCCCAAAAGGCAGGAGGGCGTACACACCGAGTCTTGAACCCAGGATCGGCCTGGCCAGGATCTGTGCAATTAGGTGCATCTTTTGCGCCTTCCTGCCTCGGACGCCTCGGAGCAGCAGCGCGTAGATTCCGCCGCCCCCCACAGGCGGAAACCGCCGCAGACGAGGCCCCGGGCGCGGCCGACGCCGAGAACGGCACGGGCGGCGACGAGGCGATTCGCGAGGAAGTGCACGTGGACCCGAGGATGGGGGGGCTGGGGGGTTGGGAGTGGGGCCGCCCCGTCGTAGAGTGGCGGTCACAGAGATCTTTCAGCCAAGCCGTTGTCCCAGACGAGTCGTGGACAGAGGCCGGCGGTCATTTTTTTGCTGTCTTCGGCCTCCGTGGGCCTTTGCCAGGCCTCGGGAGCGTCAAACGACGACGCAGGATGAAGCATCGGTCCCCGCCAAGGGGTGTCCAGATCTCTCGGGGTCCACGCCATGAGGAATCATCACGTCGGGGTCAGGACTAAGAGAGGCTCACGCCACACTGGTCAACTCAATTGCGGTGTGTGGGCGTGGGTCTCGCCTCTGTCACAGAAGAGCGATCGGGGTGATGTCCAGATGGCCGTGGCAAACCCCGCCCTTCGTGGCAGCGCAGCATCGGAGCGCACGCAGCATGGTCATAACGAACTCTCCCGAGCATGCTCGGTGTAACCATCTTAGATCCGTGTTGGAAGTTGAAGCGCGGCGCCGCCGCAACGTCGCATTGTCGTTGCGCAGACTACCAGGGGTCTTGCATGCTTACTGGGGGCTTCTGGCCGGTGGCCTCTTCAGGGTCTCTCGGGGCACCCTCGGTGGCTCCTGGAGCGCCTCCTGGGGCCCTGCTCGGGGGTCTCGGGGCTGTCTCGGGCGTGACAGTTCTGATCACGATCTCTGTCGAGGAGGAGGAGGTGGAGCAGGAGGAGGAGGAGGAGGTGGAGCAGGAGGAGGAGGAGGAGGAGGAGGAGGAGGAGGAGGAGGAGGAGGAGAGGAGGAGGAGGAGGAGGAGGAGGACGTGTCTGGTGGCCTTTTTTTGGGGACCTCCCGGGGAGGTTCTGCGCCGTCCTCTCGGCAGGCTCTCCGGCCCGTGCCTTTTGGGGGAGCGGGCCTCTCGGGGCATTTTTGTCTTGGGGTGCGTCTGCAGGGTTTCTCCGAAGGGCTTAAGGCGACCCGTCCTCCTCTCTCCTCTCCTCCTCCTCTCCTCCTCCTCTCCTCCTCCTCCTCCTCCTCCTCCTCCTCCTCCTCCTCCTCCTCCTCCCCTCCTCCCCGTCCCCTCCTCCCCCTCCCTCTCCTCATCATCCTCCCTCCTACTCCTCCTCCTCCTCCTCCTCCTCCTCCTTCTCCGACGGATGGCACCAGTCGTGGATCGCGCCTGGCAGGAAGTACATTGATCGTATTGCATCGACGAAGGCTCTCCACCATCGGGCTCGCGAAAAACTTCTCCACCTTCACCTTCATTGCCCAACTCCACCTCCCAGATCGAAACATCCTGGACCTCGAGGATCGTGGCCTCCAACTCCTGACCGAAGCCCTCCGCAATGCATATAGTAGAGCCCTCCTATGTAGTCTCAAAAGCCTTGGGTTCCCAATTCAGGCTCGTGATCTAAGTAATACTGCCCGTGCGTCCATGTACCGTTTAACTATGAATTCTAAAGCCTTTCAGGACATGATCGAAACCCTTGGCCAGTATAGTGAGTCTTATGACTGTGATGTTGCGTGGGAGAGTCGTTCGCTGTATTTGAATTCTAGTTTCAGGAGTTTCTGGCGCATTTTTCTGTCCCTTTCCAGCATTCCCGAGGTTCCTGTGTTTGGCACGCCCGCTCTTCAGGAAGAAACGATGGCTTTTTTGATGCGTCGTGCCGCGGATCACCCCGACCCCACCATCTGCGCTCGTGCCGTCCATAGGTGTCCGCCTCCCTCATAGAAAAAGACTCTGTTAATAACCGCGCTTCGCCGTATTGCCGCGACGACGCACGCCACCGTGCGTTTCTGCCTTTGTTATTTGCACGATTTGTAATGCCTGGGCGACCTCCCGACGCTTCAAATGCCAAACTAAGACATGTCCTCTCTGCAGCAGGGATAAAGATTCTTTAGCTCTTGGGAGATCATTGAGCCTGCTTTGACTAGTCTTATGAGGTCTGTCAGGGGTAACTGTATCCCTGCCACTGGCGCCGTTTTTTGTTTTTTGTTTTTGTTTGTTTGTTTTTTTAATTTAAAAAATGATTTTCCCTTGCGGAGCCACATTCATGCGTCCTCTCGTTGCCGGGCAGTTTTTTATGAAGGGGCGGTTCGTCAAGCCTTCCTTTGCGCTGTCCTACCGAATGCACGGCGAACGAGTTTGAACGCCAGACTCGAACGGTAGCCCACCTGTACATTCTCACTTTTGCCTGCTGTAATGGTACCCCCCTTTCGCTGCTGTTTTTTTCTCGGGGGCGCGGCAACTGTCCAAGCTTCCGTGCCCGCTTCAGACGCGCCTTAGACATTCCGCCTTGGGCCATCGTGTGCTGCACTTCCTTCGCGGAAAACATCGTTTCCCTTGTCTTACATCCTCATTTCCACTTCCCCCGCCGGAGGAGCGAGGCCGAGAAGGCCGCGCTCGCCGCCCGCGCGGAGATCGAGCACCCGCCGGGCGCGCTGTGCGTGGACCCGCGGCGGCCAGGGGGGGCCCTGCGCGCGGAAAGGGGGAGGGAGGCGGGCGGAGGAGGGACGGGGGAGGAACGAGGAGGGGGGGGGATGGAGGAGAGAGGAAAAAGGAGGGGAGGGGGAGGGAAGGAGGGAGGGTGGGAGGGAGGAAAAGGAAAAAGACAAGGGGAAGGAGAAGGTGAAGCAACAGGAAAGTGAGGGGGAGGAGGAGGAGGAGAAGGAGGAGGAGGAGGAGGAGGAGGAGCAGGAGGAGGAGGAGAAGGACGAGGACGAGGACGAGGACGAGGAGGAGGAGGAGGAGGAGGAATAATAATAATAGTGTTGAGAATAGTAAGACGAATACTACTACTACTACTACTACTACTACTACTACTACTACTACTACTACTACTACTACTACTACTACTACTACTACTACTACTACTACTAATACTATACTACTACTACTACTCCTACTACTACTACTGCTACTACTACTACTACTAATAATAATAGTAATATTATCAATAATAATAACACTAATATTAATAATAATAATGATAATACTACTACTAATAATAACAACACTAATATTACTACTACTAATAATAGTAATAGTAATAATAATAATGATGATGATAATAATGATGATAATAATACTAATAATACTACTACTACTACTAATAATAATATCAATAATACATATACTAATACTAGTCACAATAAAATGCTAATACTAATAACACTAATAATACTAATACTAATAATACTAACACTACTACTAATAATAATAATACTAAAAATACTAATAATAATACTAGTAATAATAATAAGACTAATAATAATAATAATAATATAATAATAATAATAATAATGTTAGTCATACAAATAAGAGGACGAGGAGGAGGAATAATTATGATAATAATCACAATAATAAGAAGAGGAGGAGCAGCAGGAGGAGGAGGAGGAGGAGGTGGAGGACGAGGAGGAGGAGGAGGAGAACGAGGAGGAGGAGGAAAAGGAAGAGGAGGAGGAAGAGGAGGAGGAGGAAGAGGAGGAGGAGGAGAAGGATGAAGGGAATGAGGAGGAGGAGGAGGATCAGAAGGAGGAGGAGTCGGCGGAGGAGGAATAATAACAATAATATTAATGATTAGAATCGGAAGGAACATATAAAGACGATGAGGCGGGGGAGGAGGGAGGGCAGCGAAGGTGGAGAAAGAGGAATGAGGGGGGTAGGAGGGAGGGGCAGGCAGCTCCGCCCACGACCCGATCCGACGCGGTTCGATTCGCCGGCTTGAGTCGCGATTCCGATTCGATTCGATTCGGCTCGATTCACCGGCAAGGAGGAGGAGGAGGATGAGGAGGAGGAGGAGGATCAGAAGGAGGAGGAGTCGGCGGAGGAGGAATAATAACAATAATATTAATGATTAGAATCGGAAGGAACATATAAAGACGATGAGGCGGGGGAGGAGGGAGGGCAGCGAAGGTGGAGAAAGAGGAATGAGGGGGGTAGGAGGGAGGGGCAGGCAGCTCCGCCCACGACCCGATCCGACGCGGTTCGATTCGCCGGCTTGAGTCGCGATTCCGATTCGATTCGATTCGGCTCGATTCACCGGCATCGGCCGCGAGCCAGTGGGAAGGAGGCGCGGCGATCCAGTTTCGATTTTGTCCGGGACGGTTCGCAGGCGATCCGATTCATTTCCGAACCGATCCGCTTTTGCGATTCGGTCCAGCGCAGGCCTGGGAGGGAAGAGTCCCCCTCGCGGCGTTAATCAATATGATGTTGATGACGTTGCTGATTATGATCCTGATCACCACCATCATCATCATCATCATCGTCATCATCATCATCATCATCATCATCATCATCATCATTATTATCATCATCATGCTCACGATCATGATCACGAGGGTGCTGATGGTGACGGAGCTGGTGGTGATGACCATGACGATGGTGATGGTGATGGTGGTAGTGATGATGATGCTGCTGCTGATGATGATGATGCTGATGCTGATGCTGATGCTGATGATGATGATGCTGATGATGATGCTGATGGTGATGATGATGATGATGATGATGATGATGATGATGATGATGATCATGATGATCATGATGCTGATGCTGATGTTGATGCTACTGATGATGCTGCTGATGATGATGATGCTGATGATTATGATGCTGATGATGCTGATGGTGGTGGTGATGATGCGTGAATGAGGACGGGATTTGCTTGGGTGTTCACGCTAGCCCCAGGACATGCACGTGGTGCTCGCTGTTGAGATGTCAACGCAGCCGTTCAAGTCCTTCCTTTTCGACGGCATCCTCGGCCTGAGCCTGGACGGCCTCGCGCTCAACTCGAAATTCAGGAGTCCATCTTTTCTTCCCCATCCCCTGTTTTGGCCCCATCCTCCCTCTCCATCCTTCCATCCTTCCCTCCTCATCTTCCTCTTCCTCCTCATCCGTCTACAGTCGGACCGAGGTATAAGATCGAGGTCTGTTCGGGTATCCTAGTGTTCTTCGTGTTTGTAGGATGTCCTTGTGCATCTTCGGGAGGGTACCCTTGGATGTTCTGTTTGTTTTGGCCGATGGAGGTTCTCATTTTCTTGAATTATGTTCTTCAGGTCTAATTCCGACAGTGCTCATGCTCCTCTTGGCTCTCCTCTGGCCTTTCTAAACTTGATCCTCGAGCGGATTTTCTGCCATTGCCCCGCTTGCCTCCCGCATCCCAAGTGCCGCCGACATCCTCATTGGCGAGAGGAAGATCGACCGCCCACATTTTGGCGTCTACCTGACCGAGGGCGAGGAGAGAGATGCGAGCCGCCCTTTCGCATGCTTGCTCAGACTAAGTCATGCCCGTTCAGAGTTCTCCCCATCTGCACTCTTCGCTTCATCTTCCCTTCATCTCTCCTTCCTTCCCCCTCTTCCCCTTCCCCTCCACTCTTCCACAACATTCTCCTTGCCCGTCCGCATCCCCCTTCCCTTCCCTCTTCCTCCATCCGCCTCTCCCCTTCCTTGTCTCTTCTCCCTCGACGTCCACCATCTCGCAGGTAGCTCCATATTGGCCGCGCTGGCGGCGACGCTGCTGCGAACCAGGGTCCTCGGGTGCCCAGAACAGCCTATGCCAGTTCGTCTTTCTCTCCGCTTGGCTGTGCGGAGGAGGGGGAGGCGAGATAGAACATCGAGATTTTGAGTCTTTTTGGTTCCTTTCCGGCCTTTTCGGACCTCTAGACAGGGAGGAGGAGGAGAAACAGGACGCGTGAAGCGTGAACCAGGAACACAGGAGGAGGAGGAGGAGGAGGAGGAGGAGGAGGAGGAGGAGGAGGAGGAGGAGGAGGAGAGGAGGAGGAGGAGGGAGGAGGAGGAGGAGGAGGAGGAGGAGGAGGAGGAGGAGGATGGGAGGAGGAGGAGGAGGAGGAGGAGAGGAGGAGGAGGAGGAGGAGGAGGAGGAGGAGGAGGAGGAGGAGGAGGAGGAGGAGGAGGAGTAGGAGGGAGGAGGAGGAGGAGGAGGAGGAGGAAAAGAGGAGGAACAGGAAGCGTGATGCGTGAAACGTGAAGTCCTAGCTCCAGAGACCCGCACGGCAGAGTCGGTCAGTGATCAGCGCGAGACTGCGGCCGTGCTCGCCCACGAGGCGAACTCACCAGAGGTTGAGGAGGAGAAGGGGGAGGAGGACCAGCATTAAACCCGACTGGATAGAGTCATGGGGAGAGGTCTTGCCTGCTTCGCCTGCTCCAGGGACACCTCACACCTCGGCATTCCGATCCATTTTCGATCCAGCTCCCTCAGCTGGTCCCTGGCCTGGTTCTCTTCCCCCTCGCCCTCCCTCCCTTCTCATAACCTCTTTTCTCCCCTCCCCTCCCCCCCTGCCCTCTTTTTCCCTCCTCTCCCCTCCCCCCCCTCCCCTCCTCCCTCTCCTCTCCTCTCCTCTCCTCCTCTCCTCTCTCTCCTCTCCTCTCCTCTCCTCTCTTCCTCTCCTCTCCTCTCCTCTCCTCTCCTCTCTCCTCTCCTCTCCTCTCCTCTCCTCTCCTCCTCCCTCTCCCCTCCCCTCCCCCTCCTCCTCTCTCTCTCCTCTCCTCTCCTCTCCTCTCCTCTCCTCTCCTCTCCTCTCCTATCCTCTCCTCTCCTCTCCTCTCCTCTCCTCTCCTCTCCTCTCCTCTCCTCTCCTCTCCTCTCCTCTCCTCTCCTCTCCTCTCCTCTCCTCGTCGTCATTCTCTTCCTCCTCCTCCTCCTTCTCTGCCTTTTCATCAATCTTGTTCCTTTTCTTCTTCTTCTTCTTCTTCTTTTCCTCGTTCTGCGAGGGCGTTGTCCTTAGGCTGGCCCTGTTTGGCTCCGGTGCCGAGACTGAAAGTCTTGAGCAATGGGTGTTGTAGAAGGAATCTGGCTGTCCACGGCCTCGAACCCAGAGATTTCGACGAGGTCCAGTCTGTTTTGTTTTGATCGCCCCCCTGGGGGCTGACTCCCTGCTGCTGGGTGAATGGGATGGCCTCCAGCGGTGGTGTTGTGCTCCTCCATGCACAAGAGCGTCAGCCCTACACTGTCGTCGCCCTGTCGTCGTATCAGAGACAGATGGTTGGGGTCGCCTCTTTGACCACTGACGCGGCCTCGTGGAGATATACTTGAGATGCGATGTGCATCCTGCGTGCAGACTGCGGGGTTTCTGATCCGGCTGCATGTGGCAAATCCTGCGACTATGCCAGCGCAGCGTAGGACAAGGATGAGTTTAAGACCTGTTCCAGTTCAGTGCGAATTAGCATGGGGCTTCAACACGCCTCTTTGTCCGCCACTGCGTTCTCCTCCTGCTTCTCCCCTCGAGGCATTTTGAATGCTTCCTGGGGGCTTCTTTGGAGCATCCCCTGGGGTGGTCCGTGGGCCTTCTCGGGGCTGTCTTGGGTTTATCTTCAGCTGCTCTTGGTGCTCCCGAGGGTCTCTGAAGGCTTCACGGGCTAAGCGTAAGCCGAAAAGCTTCAGAAGCACGCAACATGGCACGGATGTTTCTTTCGTTTTCTCAACGCTCTTCGCCTCTTAGAGCCTCGCTCGAGAAATGTGTTGGCGTACCTTGGGGGCTCTCAGGGTGTCTGAGGCATCCTGGGGAGATCTTGGATCGTGGCGCCTTGCAATCGCTTTGAGGCGGACTTTTGTTGTCGTTGATCGTCTCGAGGCCGACAAAAAGGCGCCATGGAACAAAACCTGGGGGCGGCACGAGTGCACGAAGCTCAGTGCATTAGTGTATACGTAACAGACCCTTTGGGCTCAAGCTGGGGGCCCACTGCGTGTGTGTGTGTGTGTGCGTGTGTGTGTGTGTGTGTGCGTGTGTGTGCGTGTGTGTGTGTGTGTGTGGCCTTTTCTGCCCGCGCCCACCCACCCAAGGCAGAAGCGCTCGGCGGTACCGATCTTCTGCGCAGTTCTCCACGGGCGCAGGGGGCAGTGGTTTCCAGGAGGCTCCGGGCCACGTCAGCGCGGGGCACCCTGGAGATGTGCAGAGACCTTACCAGATCCTGCTTGCCTCACGGAAAATCAATGGACGTCCTGGGGGTTCGGGGTTGGGATTCTTGTGGAAGGTTTCTTGTGGTCGAGCCCCTACTGCATCACGCGTTCTGGCACGGCGGCGGATCCTGCTCTTGGCCGCCGGGGATACCCGGAGCTGACTCGGACATTGAAATGGACAGGGGATGCTGCTTTTGAGGTGGCGCGAAATATTGAGAGCGTTGTCCCCTTCTCACAGGAGCTTATTAGTGAGGAAAAAAGATCCGGTTAAACTGGAGGATGAGGAGGAGGAGGAGCAGGAGGAGGAGGAGGAGGGTGAAACATAAAGACGGAGGACGGAGGAGGACGAGGAGGAGGAGGAGGAGCCGCATGAGGGTTGGAGGAAGGAAGGAAACACATTTCAGAGCAGACGTGGATAATAAACGGAATATCAGCAACAAACATAGTCGTGTTACCGTCTACCGATACAGATCCCGCTTGTTCCCTCTCCTGACCTCGAGGACGGCGAGGACAACGAGATCGCAATGGGGGGGCACAACCCGAAGCGCGTGCTCGAGCCACTGACCTGGTCGCCGGTCATCATGGCCGACATGGGATACTGGCTGGTGCGCAGGGCGGGGCCAGCTTCCGCAGGCAGGTTCAGCAGAGTGCGTCGCCACGAGGCTGAGGCGTCCTGAGGGAAGCGGGTCCTGGAAGTTTGTCGCCGTCTTCGGGCTCTGGGAGTCGTTTACGGGCCCCAGGACCACCAACGAAACGGCTCGCGATGAATAACTGTTTCCCCCATAGGTCAACCCCAGGGGCATCGCGAGTGGGGCGCAGAGATGATCGCGATTCGCGCATCGCGTCTTCGGTTGAAGAGATGCCCTTCTCCAGGGCGGCGGCGCGAGGGCGCGAAGATGACCGCGCATCGCGCATCGCGGGGCGCGGTGCGTGAAGTCGGGTGACCTGGGTCCCGGAGGGAGATCCCCAGGGCCCAAGACCCGTTTCCGATGGGGCCCGTTCGTTTCACCTTTTGGACAGAGAAATGGCGCCCGCCCGAGAGTTGTGTGTGTGTGTGTGTGTGTGTGTGTGTGTGTGTGTGTGTGTGTGTGTGTGTGTGTGCGGTTGTGGGCTCTGCTCGCAGCCTGGAGAGGGCTCTTCGGAGAGCCTTGCTGGATGCACGCGGTGGCGCTGGCAGAGCTCAAGTCGGCGTCGAAATCCGAACCCTATCCCCGCCGATGAACAGTTCAGGGATCTCGATGGGCAGCGGGAGGGTTCGAACCTCGAACGGCTTTTTGGCCTTCGGGGGCCCCCCTCGTCGCCACGGCTGGATGCAGCTCGAAGAACTGGTGCGTTTGGATCCCGGCAGGGGTCTGGGGACTCGTTTTGAGCGAAATTTGAAGCGAGCTTCGCCGATCAGCGATTCAGGCAACTCGATTGGCGGCGGAGGTAAGGTTCGGAATTCGTCGAACACGTGGCGAAGTCCGAACCCTACCTTTACCTCCCGTCGATTCAGGAGAATCGATGATTGGTGGGGGTGAGTGTCGCCACCTGGCCTTGCAGTCGCAAAAGTTCTTCGGCGGAAGTGAAAAGGACTGTTCAGCCCAAGCAGCCACTAGAACTGTCCAACTTGGGTCGGCGAAGCGTAAGACTCGAGTACGCCGGAACTCGGGTTTGCCGATTTAGGCCCTCTAGAATCCATTTGGCGGCCGCTTTGAGGTATCTTGGTGCTCTCCTTGGGCACCTCAGGGGCATTCGGGCGCTTTTTGGGCTCTCTTGGAGCTCTTCTGGGAACATTTGAGGCCTTCACTCGGGCCCACTTGCGATGCCACCGACCAAACAGGGGGCGGCGTCAGCAACAATCTAACACATCGCCCCTTGGGGTCCTCCTGGGACTCCCTTGGGGTGCTCTGGGGGCTCTTCTGTGTCCCTCTTGGGGCCCTTTTGGACCATCCCTGGGCCATCTGGACGCCTCAGAGGCCCATCGGATGCCGAACATGTGAGTCTTCAGCGGTTTTAGGACCGGGCATCCTTGTTTGGCTCGGGGGCCGACTCTGAGCCGACTTGGGATCACAATTTGGCCGAGTTAAGGAATTCGGTGCTCGGAGGGCGAATCATTCATTCAATGGGCTTACGCCACATCCGCCGACCCCTATGTAAGCTACGGCGCCTCCAGGGCTGCATACCATGGCGCCTTTCCGAATTAGGCACGGCCATGGACGTCGTTCCTGGTACCTTCGACGACGTGCCTTGTTGAATTCCCATTTCTATAGAATAAATCGTGCTCCTCCCAGGGCCTGCACCGGAGGCTTGTCGGATGTACAGTGGGGGCGCGCATCAAGAAACCATATGCTTTTCGTCAGGTTGCCCTGGGTTTCTTCGCTCCGCACGCTGCTCGGTGACTTCCCGCGGCCGTTCAAGGAGCTGCTGCGTTCGGGATACCCCGGACTTCTCCCCAGTCGCACCTCTCGTGCGGGTCTTTAGGGCTGGGTTTCTTGCGAGGGTTTCTTGCGTCCGCGCTCGCATTGTATCTTGAGAGCTAATTGTAGGCCTGTTGGGGCGTCTTGGGGGCCTCTTGGCCGTCCTGGTGGTCTCTTGAAGTGTCGTGGGTGCCTCCAGGGGGCCCCTTGGGGCTTCTTGGGGATCGCTTGGGGGCCTCTTGGGGCATCCGGGGGGAATTCTGAAGGCGTTTTGGGGGTGCCTTTTGGGGCCCTCTTGTGGCACTCTCTTGGGGGTCTCGGAGGCAATATTGGGGCCATATTGGATGAGAGCGATCAGAGGAGAGGGGATATGAGTCCCCCCCCCAGGAGGCCAACATTGGCTTACAGTCCTTTTGTGGAATCGCTGATTTTGCCCTTCTCGCCCAAGCCATCCTGGACGCTCCAACGCGTCGCGGGGCGCCCTGTCCAGGTCCCAGGTCCAGGGGGGGGCAGGGGGAGGGGTAAACCCTTCTCCGAAGTGGAAGAAGAGGGCTGGAAGAGGAACCGCTCCAAATCACACGCACCCTGATGGGCTGTTGGGATTGCCGGTTCGTCGTCGTTTTTGCCGTCGAGGCCGCCAGGTTGTAGCCAGCGACCCAGACGAGACACACATCGCATATTTTCTTCATCGTTTGGTCGCACTGTCGTGGAGTTTGGGGTGCCGTTCTCCTTGGGGGTGTTGGGCTCCGCCGTCGCCGCCGCCTGCGCCGCTGCATGTGTTCTTTGCGCGGCGCTCCGTCTTTCTCGCGCGGCGTTCCGCCCCCCATGCTTCGCTCGGAGTGTTCGACGTGTGGCGCTTTCGTACGTCCTCGTTCCCGTGAAGCCTACGGGGACTTCGGAGCCCCCCCCCCGTTTCTCCCCTCAGGCCCCCTTTGTTTCCCGTGCCCTATCCCCGTGCCCTATCCCCCTTCCATTCCCTTCTTCTCCCTCCCCTCCCCTCCCTCCCCTCCCCTCCCCTCCCCTCCCCTCCCCTCCCCTCCCCAAACAATTTTTTGTTTCGCTGGTTTGCAGCATTTTTTTCTTGTCAATGCGCTGCCCCAGAGGTCCCGACCTTTCTCCCCTGGGGCCAGGTCTTCGCTCCGAACACATTTTTCTGATGGCCGCGGGGCGCGTCGTCGGGCCCCGCGCGCTGGACGTAGTGCAGGGAAGAACGCCCCCGATGGAACAGATCAGCTCGCCGGAGAGCTGGGTTCCCCCTTCCCCGTCGCCCCCCCCCCCCTCGCCCCGCCAGCTGCCTCGCTCTCGCTCTCCCGCTCGCCCCTCTCCCTCCCCTCTGCCCCCCCCCCTTGAATGTTAAGCCAAGGCCACAACCAAGCCCCGAGCACAGAGCTCAGCTGGTAGTTTTGGCAATGTCACTTCGATTCGCGATCGGTCCTGTGGGATCGTTTTTTATTTACTGTTTGGCCGATCGGTGCGGGCCCCCCAGCCCCCCCTTCCCCCCCCCCATGGAGTAGATCTTGGCTGTTTTTCTGGCGCCTGTTTCGAGCGGGTGGGTGGAGTCTCCCCCCGAGACAGCACTCCTGCAAACAGTCGCACTACGCAGAGGAGCCAGACCCCCCTCCCTCTCCCCCCGTTCCGCCCAATGCCGAAGCTCCGATTAAAATTACGCTCACTACCCTATCCGATCCCCCCTTCTTTGGCCTCCCCCCCCCCCTCGGGCGCTGAGACCTCGAGCGCCTGCGGCTTCTCCCGCGGGCGTGCGCCCCTCCTGGCCTCCAGGTGAAGATCGTGGCCGTCCGGATAAACGGCCAGGAGCTGGACGTGTGCAAGGACCCCCCGGCCGGTGGAGGAGGGAGTGTCGGGTCAACGACATGGGGGGGGACAGGGGTGGGTGGAGGGATGCATGGGCCCCCAAGCGCCCACCCGCGACCCACCCCGCGACCGGCTCGCGACCCACCCGCGACCCACCCCGCGACGCACCCGCGACCCACCCGCGACCCACCCGCGACCCAACCCGCGACCCACCTACACTACTTGAACAAACATCGGCGCCTGCAGCGGTCTCGATGTATAGTTTGTGTAACCTATGCGTCTGCGGCGGGCTTCTTCAGAGCCTCGCAGACTGCCGACGTCCCCGCGGCCCCCTCACACTTCTCCGCATCTGCGGGGTGCCACGTTTGTTTGTTTTTGCTTTTCAGCGCCCCATGGTGATCGTGGTGTTCAGCCGTGCGCAGAAGGGGGTAGGGGGAGGGGGGAAGGCTTCTTAGAAGCACCCCTGCTTCCAAGACGCCTTCGCCCCCCGCCCCTCCCCCTGCCCCCCTTGTGCGCGCCGCCAGGTATAGCAGGCATGGCACTCGGGCCTCCCAACGTACCCGACTCAAGACAGCAACGCGTATACCCCGCCGGAAGCGGTCATTTTGCCTTTGCCCGAGAGGCGCAGACGATCTTGACGCGAACGGGCCCGGGGTATACTCTCTGGCGGGTCCTTGCTGGGAGGCCAAAGTGCCACGCCTGCGAAATCGCGATGATCATGGGACTCCGGGAAGAGGAGGAGGAGGAGGAGGAGGAGGAGGAGGAGGAGGAGGAGGAGGAGGAGGAGGAGGAGGAGGAGGAGGAGGAGGAGGAGGAGGAGGAGGAGGAGGAGAAGGAGGAGAAGGAGGAGGAGGAGGAGGAGGAGGAGAAGAGGAGGAGGACGAGGAGGAGGCGGAGGCGGAGGAGGCGGAGGAGGCGGAGGAGGAGGAGGAGGAGGAGGGCGTAATTGCCCCACCAAAACTGGAATTCTGTCCGAGGGGTCCCGACACTGTGGGCGCGAAAGGGCCCGAGGTTCACGGGCCCGTCTGCGTCCGGATACGTCGGGGCCTTTCGGGTAGAGTGGCAGCTCCTTGTCGGGGAAGACGCTTTTCACTGGTCTGTTCAGAGCCAATTGATCATCGCGATGTGGCAGGCACGGCATGTGGGCCTCCCCAAGCGGCCTGCTGGAAGTTTGACGCCGCGTTCCAGAACGTCTCAAGCGGCACGCCTAGCCCGCTCTGCCGACACGTCTGGGCGCGCGACGACGAAGAGGGGCACTCGTGACGAAAAGGGACACGGGAGGATGAGGACCGGGACGATGACGAGGATGTAGGAGTGAGGAGTACGGTCGGGCCGAGGCATAAGATCGTGGTCGGCTCGGGGAGGCTGCCCTGATGTTCGTCGTGTTTGCTGGATGCTCTTGTGCATCCTGGGGGAGGGTGGCCTCGAATGTTCTTCATGATGGTTTGGCGGAGGGTCTCATGCTGTTGAAGGAGTTTCTTCTGTCCCAGGTCCGACCTTAGGAGTGGAGGAGGCAGGAGGGAGGAGCGGGGTGGTAAGGTGTAAGGAGTGATCTGTCGCCCAGCTCCCCGGAGGACGGCACCTGCCGCGGCGTGGTGGACACCGGTGCCCGCCTGCCTCTTGCTGGCACGCCGCGGCTGCGAGCACCCTCAGCCCACGGCATTCCTATTGCAGTCCTGCTCCTCCCCCTCCTTTTCTCCCCTCCGGTTTTGCCTCGTCTTGTCCTGTGTTGTCCCGTCCTGTCCTGTTTTGTCTTATCTTGTCTTGCTATTCCTCTTCCTGATTCGCTGGACATGATCCTCCCCTCCCTCGCTCTCTCTCTCTCCCTCTTTGTCTCTCTTTCTCTCTCTTTCTCTCCCTCTCTTTCTCCCTCCATCCCCCTCTCCCTCCCTCTCTCTCTCTCTCTCCCTTTCTCGCTCTCATTTTCTCTGCCTCTCTCTCCCTCTCTTCCTCGTGAGGGAAAGGGGCCCTGAGTTTGTCCACAGTCTGCGGACTTTCGTGAGTTTTGTACTGTTTGCCCCCCCCCCCCCCCAGCACCAGGTACCTCACACCTGGGTGTCCCTGCGCCCTACGACGCAGAGGCCCTGCCCGCGGGGGGGGTCGGAAGAGGAGGAGGAGGAGGAGGAGGAGGAGGAGGGGGAGGAGGAGGAGGAGGAGGTGGAGGAGGAGGAGGAGGAGGACGAGGAGGAGGGGGAGGAGGAGGGAGGGCGGGAGGGGAGGAGGGGGTAGGGGGAGGGGGAGGGGGAGGGGGGAAGGCAAGCTAGGTGCGCTCGCGTCGTATCTGACATCCTACTCCTCCCTCCCATCCCTTACCATGGCGTAGATCCCCTCTCTACTCGCACAGTCGGATGTCGAGCAGGGCAATGCTCCCGAAAGGGTACGCGATGCATTGTAGGGCACGGCATGGCATGGCGTAGAAGAGCACCGCAAAGCGTAGTATGTCACAGCATGGCGTGGCGTGGCGTAGTGAAGAATTGCATCACAAAGCTTTGCAACGCAAAGCATGGCATCGCACAGCGGCCCCGAACATTGAATTGCGTAGCATGGCGTTGAAGATCAAAGCGTAGCATGGCATAGCACGACGTGGCACTTAATCACTGCATATCACAGCTGCAGCTGAAGGCATGGCATCGCGCAGCGGAACGCAATCTAGCATTGCATTGCATGCCGTGGCATGGCACGGGAAATGACGCCAGCGTTGCAGCGGGAGCACGATTCGGAACGAGTGGAAGCGCGGAAATGAGGCCAGCGCTGCAGCGGGAGCACGATTCGGAACGAGCGGAACCACGGAAATGAGGCCAGCGCTGCAGCGGGAGCACGATTCGGAACGAGCGGGGCCCGAAAATGAGGCCGGCGCCTCAGCGAGAGCAGCATTTTGAAAACAAAGGCAGGCGAAAACCCAACTCCGGGGAATCCTGTGCGTAAAAAAACAGCACGCGGGGGGGGGGGGCGAACACTCCCAACCCGTCATCAGGGGAGAAGGAGAGTAGTATTCATATTGAGTAATTGTGAGTGGGAGGGAGGAGGGGGAGGAGGGGGAGGAGGGGGAGGAGGGGGAGGAGGGGAGGGAGGGCTACATGTGTAAACCCAATGGTCATCAACGATGTTGGAATAAACCCTCCCTCCGAGCTCCCTCTTCATAGGCCCCATACGAGGGGTCACCCCCACTGCGGCAACTGCCTCGTTGGAGGACGACGAGGAGGCCGAGGAGGAGGAGGCCATCCGCCCACCGGCGCGTCGGGCGCCCCGCCGTCCGTGCGGGCGCGAGGCTCTCTGGAACGCGGGCGCCGTCGCGAGAGCGGTCGGGGAGGGCCGGGGCTCCAGCTCGGCGCGCCGGCGGGCGGTGGCAATGGCGCCCGGGCCCCCAGCAGCCCAGCAGGTGCAGAGTGCATGTGACAATGTGAACGACAACGTCGGGCACCTCCTCCTCCTCCTCCCCCTCCTCCCCCTCCTCCTCCTCCTCCTCCTCCTTTTGCATGGTGGCCTAATTCTCGTTCCGTGCACCACTCCACGCTGGTCGCCAGCGCAGTGAGTGACTCTGCCCAGCCGCCGACGCAAGAAGTGATCGACAACGTGTCCGAAACTGTGACCGAGAACATGGTGTGGCCGAAACCGTTACCGAAGCTGAAAGCCGCATGGGCCTCGAGCCAGATATCTCGGTCACACTCGGGCGCCGGTTTCGGCCACGCTCGGGCAGATTTCGGGACAGAGTTTCGGTCACCATACCCTCCTAATAGAGACGAAGCCAGGTGATGGTTGAGTTCGGTAGCAAATCATGAGAGCCTTGCGCGTGTCCTCGCAATGACGTCTTTAGAGTGCATTCGCGTGCGCTAGCGTCTGGCAAATGATGGCAAAACGCTTTAGCGTCGATTAGCGTCGATCTAGCGTCGATGAGCGTCGATTCGCAAGGGCCACCACGTTGGTACAGGAGGCTCCCACGAGTTGCTACCGAAGTACGTGACAGCCATAATTCATGCGCGGCGAGCACGAGCCATTAAGCAGCAAGACGCATGCCGCCAGCTACTGTGAGGTCCACGCAGGACGCACGGATGCGGAGAGCGCGCGACTTACGCGGGGGCACGCGGGGGGACATGGGGCACATTGTGCTTTCGGGGCGCACGGGGCAAGGGTTAAATCGGGCCTGTGCCTCTACAGGAGGAAGATTCAAGAACAGTCAAAACATGGTCAGGGGACGATTTTTTGGGTTTTTTTTTGACCATGTTGGGGTACATCTTTGAGCCATTCTTCATTTGTCGCCCAAGATCCCCCTGCAGGAGGACAGGCTTGACTTGAGGCACGGGGGGGCACACGGGGCCACGGGGCACACCAATCCGCTCCGGTCCACGAGCACGGAAGGGCACACGGCGGCGACCACTGCCCCCAGGGCACGCGGCGCACGGGGCCAGTAAGGTGGGCCTCAGAAGTCACGGAGCGTTGTCCGCCGTTCATTTCGTGTACAGCTAGGACCCCCGCCGAGGGGAGCCGCTCAGTGATTGGACCAAGAAGCTTCAAACGTACGATGGAATCACTAAACCGGGTCTGCCGTAGCTGGTGTTTTTCGAATGGCGGCAGTTCCGGATAGTGGAATGGGGTGGGGGGGCGTCCCCCAGTACACATCATTAAACCAGGTCCCACTAAACCCAGTCCTGCCAACGCCCGACACATGTAGTCATTCAGAACCTTACGGCACTTGCCTCTTAGGGGAGAGTATGTCGTGCACGCGTAGCCATCTCTTAGCCCGACGTTGCTCGTCTGTGCTCGCGGAGCCGCTTGATTCAGTGCTTGGTACGGTGTGGTTCTTGCCTTCTGCGCCGTGCGAGACTGTCGCTGGGGCTCCTTCCTAACGATACGCCCTCGTTGGGAGGCTGCCCTCTTGTGCTCCTTTCTCCCTTCCCCCTTCCTCGTCTTGCTACTCTTTTCCTCCTCTTCCTCTTCATCTCCTTTTGTTCCTTCTGCCTCCTTCCATCCTCTTCCTATTCCTTCGCTCCTGTGCCTGTTCCTGTTTCTCTTTCTCCTCGGCTTCTTCCTCCCTTCCCTCCCTCTTCCTCGCCTCCCTCTCCTTCCCCTCCCCCCACATCGCATCCTCCTCTCCTCCTCTTCCTCCGCACCCTCCCAATCCTCTTCTTCCGTCTCCTCTAGTCACCTGCTCTCCCTCATGAGGAGCCTGCTGCTTCGCTCCTCCGAAGACCTCTCTGCAGCATCCAGAAACTGCTAGAAGCCCTCCAGAAGCCCTCCGACGTCTCCCCCCCATGCCCTCCGAGCCCCCCGGAACCCTCCCGGAATTGGACCCTTCGCCCCCTCAAACATGCTGGGACAGCCTCCTCCAGACAGTCAATTGAAACAGCACCTCTTGCCAACGAAGACGTGTTTAATCGCCGATTCCCAGGAAGATCTGGGAAAAGATGGACACGTGGGGGGAAGACGAAGACCCAGAAAATGTAGAACAATATGGGGAATCCTGGGTTTCGTGTGTGTACTTGTTGTAGTGGCCTCCAGCCAGTGCCGCCGAGCCGGGGGCGCTCCCGATGCGATCTGGTTGGTGGAAGGGGAGGTGGAGGAGTAGGTGGAGGATGAGGCGGAGGGAGGTGGAGGGAGGGATCGCCTCACGATGGCCCAAGACGGCCTAAGCAGCCCCCAAGAGGCCTCCAAGACGGCCCAAGAGGCCTCCGAGTGGACCTCCAGGAACGCCCGAAGAGGCCCAAACCGTCCCAGGGCCGGGACCCCCCGGCAGAGCCCCCGCAGGTGGCCGACCTGCTCACCACCCCCGCGGGGGAGCTGAAGGACTGCCGCCTCGCGGACGCGCCGGAGATGGAGATCGAGGTCGAAGGCCTGGCCCCTCGGGGGGGGGGGGCTGGCGCGCCAGGGCGCGGGCAGTGGGGGCCTCCCTGTGTGCTGCCCGATTTTCGAATTCCCAAACTCTGGTTTTTGAGCTCGAAAAACTGGTCTTTGAATCAAGAAGAATAGTTTTTGAATTGAAAAACGGGGTTTGCGCTCTGGCCCTGCGCGCCTGGCTGCTGCTGCCCCCCCCCGGCTGCTCAGCGTCGAGCTCTTGGGCGTCCGAGCGTCCCTTTTTCCTCTCGGCCAGTCCCTCCCCCCCTCTCTTTGCCCGCTGGCCAGGTCGCTAGTTGGTGCCCCTCTCTAGCTTCTCGCTGGAACGGAGTTCGCCGCCTCGCCGCTGACGAAAAGTGTGCTGCCCGAGGCGCACAGGAAGGGCGCGGCACTTCACGCAGGCTGCTTTTGCATCCCCGATGCAGGCAACGCGCATGGTGAGTCTGATTGACGTTCCCAAGGGTACCCTTGCATCCTTGCCTGTTCGGCCCATCCTCGGGCAATCCTTAGCTCCAGGAGCTTCAACTTAGGTGTCCAAGGGGCTTGCGTCCTCACCGCGCATCATTCTCATACGCGTTGACTGTGCCTGGGCCAATTCTCAGCTGCCCACATCCTCATGGTTGCTGGCCTGGTGCCGCTCTGGCCGTTTCCGCGTAGACGCCCAGGGGTCTATACACGCTTGCCCTGAATTCTCACCAGGGGCATGCAGACCACTTGTGTTCCGTAGCCTTCTGTGCTCGTGGAAGGGGAGGGGGCGGGATGCTCGCTGAGGGTGCAGGTGCAAGTGCTGTTCTGGGAAAGCGTACGCGAACACCTCGGAATACTGACGACCCGTAATGCACGTGAGCTGGGTTTCCAAGTCGCGCCGCATCGCCGATGCGTCGGCATTGCGGCTCGACCTCGGGGCCCTATAAGCTCTGACCTCCGCGCAGGGGGAGCAGGCAGGAGGTCCACAGGAGAGTCGATGATCCCCAAAACATGTGTTAGACCCCCCTGTTTGTGTGTGTGTGTGTGTGTGTGTGTGTGTGTGTGTGTGTGTGTGTGTGTGTGTGTGTGTGTGTGTGTGTGTGAGTGTGTGCTGTGCAGCCCACCGCTCGCTTTGACTGGCGCCTGACCGTCTCGCACACCTTGGTGTTCGCGGGCCAAAGGAACGTGGGTGTGCGCGCGTGTTCGCCCCGTTTCGCCCGTGCCAGTTCACGGGGGTTTTGTAAGTTCTGTAGCTGGCCATTTCGGACCACGTTGGGGGTTGGGGGCCACATTGGGTTGTGATATCAGTTTTTTTGCTTTTGTGTGCGCCTGTGCGTTGTTTGCCGTGTTGTCGGGGCTTTGTTGGGGCTCACTCTTTCAGCTCTCCTGGGTTTTGCTTGAAGCGATCTTGGGCGGTGTTGGAGGCATTTTGAGGCCCCAAATACCCAGAGAAAACGAGAAAAGAAACCATCCATCATAACTGAATAAGCTAAGTGGTTTGAAGGATATCTAGAAACCGCCGCTTCTGCCGCCGACACCAAGTCAAATGTCAGTGGCACTGTCGCGATCCGTTCTGAGCAGCGTGTCTGGCCTGCCGGCTCCGTCCTGGGATCCTTGCTGGAGCTCGGACCCGCTAGGGCCTCAGTGACCGAGCGGGTTGCGCTGGGGAGTCGGGGCGGGGTGGGGACCAGGCGGGGGGTCGGGGTCGGTTCTGGGCCGAAAATATTAGGGTGAGACGGGCCCAAGGACATAATTTCAGAGGGTGGAAGTGTCGGCGAGTCGGGGCGTCGTGGGGACCAGGTGGGGGTCGGGTTCGGTTCGGGACACCGACAGTTGCAGGGTGGGAGGGCCCAGGAACCTCATTCCAGTGAACGGGAGTGTCGGGGCGAGGTGGACATTAGGAAAAGACCAGGTGAGGGTCCAGGCTGAAAATTACAGGTGGACGCGGGCCAAGAACATAATTTTAGAGTGCGGGGGTGTCAGGGCGTGGTTGGGACTAGGTTGGGGGTCCGGGTCGGTTCCGGGGCCGAAAATTGCAGGGTGCCCCCCCCAAAGAAAAAATATAATTCCAGAGGACGGGGGTGTCGCCGGGGGAGGTGGAGACCCGGTTGGGGGTCAGGGTCGGTTCCGGGCCGACAATTGCAGGGTGGGAGAGCCCTGAAACAGAATTCCAGAGGGGCTCGGATGTCGGGACGAGTTGGAAACCAGGGTGGGGGAATCGGGGCCCGCACTGGACTGAACATTGCAGGGTGGGAGGGCCTCGGAACAGAATTCGAAACTTGTAAGGGTGAGTTGGGCCCACGAGCAGGATTCCAGACCGTGTCGGCGTCGGGGCAAGACCCGCCCGCGGGGTGGACAGGGAAGGAGGGAGAGGCTGGCGCAGGGCGCCCCAGCGGAATGGGCGGATGTGTTGGCGTGGGGCTCCAGATTCGGGACCTGAGGCCTCCCATGGAGGTCCTGAGGCCCTCTGGGGCGTGGGGCTGTCTTGGGGGGATCGTGGGGAGCCTCGGGCAGCTCCAAGGGCCCTCGAGACAGCCCCAGTGCCTGCCGCGGTGTCACCCCGGAGTCTCCCGAAAGGATTCCCGCCGACCTGCCGACCAGCCTGGCGGCCTACCTGCCAGCTGGCCAAGGAGCCCGTGATGGGAGCGACGGTGCTCGGCCGCCCCGTCGTGGCGCCAGGCTGCCCGAGGTGCGCCGCAGCGCGGAGGTCGGAGCACAGTCGCAGACCGATCCCCTCCAGACGATCGGGGCACCCCGAGCCTGTGGCTTCCAGAGGGCAGTCCTGGTGATGCTGACGTGTGCTGGGCCTGCGGGTCTCTTCCGCCTCGGCCTCCTCCCATCCTCTTCCCTCCGCCCCCTCCTCGTCTTCCACCTCCTTCGCCCTCGAGCCGCAGGTTACAACCTGTCGCTGCACTCTTTCAACTACATGCGGCGGCTTCCGCTTCGCGAGGGCGTGACGGTCGGCTCCAAGCAGGGCGTGTACATTCCGTCGAACGAGACTAACGCGACCTTAAAGCACCGGTCGCGAGCTCGGCAGGAGGAGGAGGCGGAGGAGGAGCAATGAGCAATGAGCAATGCGCGGGGAGTTCAAATGAGTTGCTCGACTCACACCATGAAACCTGGCAAAGAACTCTGCGCAACCCGACTTCGTGGGATGCGGGTTATCACTTGAAAAGAGACGGGGCAGCCCGCACTGGCTGGACCAGCACTGCCCCCGCTGGTGACGAACCCCCGTGACGCCACGCAGGCGTACTGGGAGGGGCCACCTAAGGGACCGACGATTGGCTGGGTCCTCGGCCTTTAGCACTGCCTTTCCCCCTTCGTGGGGAGCAGGAGCAGGAGGAGGAGGAGGATGAGGATGAGGAGGAGGAGGAGGAGGTGGATGTGGAAGAGGAGGAGGAGGAGGAGGAGGAGGAGGAGGAGGAGGAGGAGGAGGAGGAGGAGGAGGAGGAGGCGAGGAATAGGGAGGGCCACGCAAACACGCCAGGTTCGCGCCCCGTCGACGTGGCCGCGATCCAAGCCCGGCGTTCAAGGTTGAACACCGCCGACGCCCAGAATCGGCTGACATCGAGCGACCTGTGTTGTGGGAAAGCCGTGAGCACTCGAGGTTGAACAATCCGTTCGGTGTCGGAAACCAATGCCGCCGACATCGCGCCGTGTCCCTGCCGTAGGGCGAGAGATGTGGGGAAGGTAGACGACTCTGCGCACGAGACTTTGCGGCATCGGCCACAATGCCGCAGAGAATCAATTTCTTTGTCGGTGGAGGCGTTCAACGTCCCGATGTGTACTCGCGGGTCACGCAATCCTTGACTCTTGGCCCGCACAAGAAGAGGAAGGAGAGAGCAACAGAAGAGGCAGGGCGAAGGCAGACACGCCAGCGGTCAGGAGCAGAGCCAGATCGCAGCCTGCAGAGAGATGCGCACATGAGCGACGGAAGAAAACGGGGCCCGCTGCGCCGACATTGGCGCGTAAGCTGCCCGCGTAAGGTCGCGTGTGAGCGCCTTCGCTTCAAATGTAGTGTGCCGCGCGGGCGGCCCGCGTAAGCCACCGCGTAAGGCCGTTATGCCATCTCGCGTAAGACCCGTTTTTGATCGTCGCTCACGTGCACCTCAGAGCAGCAAGTTTGCGTTGCGCGCCTCAGTCTGGAGGAGTTCTCTGGCGTGCTGCTGCCTCGGCCGTCGCCGACGTCCTTCGTCTGGCTCTGCCCCCGGCAGTCCCCAGCCCTGGCCTCTGCTTTCTGGCCGCCTTTGATATATTTGATCTATATATATATATATATATATACGTGTATACATAAAGCAACATGCATGTTGTAAAGGCAGGCGCCCCCATCATTCGAAGCAGGAAATCGGAGTCGTTTACTATGGGCACAGAACTGTATGCCTTGCTTTAGCACGTCTTCAGTACATTGTTCTATTCACCAGCTCTCCCACCCGTCAGGTCCAACGCTTCTGGTGAGCTTTGTTTGTGGTGTGACCGTTGAGGTCAAACAGTTGTCTTGGGCGCTATGCCCTGGCCGCCTGTGGCCACTCTCCCTGGCCCAGCCCTCTACCTGGCCGGTCCCTGGCCCCAGAGCCGTGCCGCGCCCGCGACGGTTGGGCCTCGCTTGGCCTCGCGCCCGACCGCTTCCAGCTTTGCGCTGGACTCGAGGAGCAAAAAGCTGCAGAAACCGATTTTTTCCGAGGTCCGCGCGGTTTCTCGGGTCGGTGCTGAAGCCCACCTTGCGGCGCCTCTGGCGACGCCTCTGGCGCGCTCCCGACCCAAGAAATGTACGCGGACCCCCGACAGTTTATGTTTATTCAGTCTGTTGTGACGAAGAAAGGCTGTCTCCTGCCTCAATGTTTGGGGTCCATGCGCAGGTTTAGTGTAGAGTGCCATGGTTCAGCGCACGTAGTTTTGCCCGTCATGCTTATTCCACGCCGGATGTCTATCACCTTTGACAAAGGTGGCCAGTCGCTGAACACACACGATGTTGTTTCACCCTAATGATTGAGGACCGCCCTACCACGTCAAATCCGACTGAGGAACGCATGCAAAGTACGTCAGGGTAATCAGGCTGCGCGATTTTCCTGTGCACGTCAGTGATGCAAATCCTGGCCTGCGTCTTCCACAGGCCTCCCTGGGGACGGGGTCTTGTTGCATGAGCTTCGTGAGAGCCCCATACATTGGAACCCCCATGCTTTAAGCCTCGAGAGGTGTGGTGATGGGATGCACTTGAAACAAGATTTGCCGCACACTGGGAACCTCGCAAGAATCTTGTCCCCCGTCCAATTGATGCGTTCCACCCAGCCTCAAACTCCGTTAGAGCGCCGCGGACTTTCGCCTGAGGGCATCCGTGAAGAGACGTGCTCACTGTTGAGATGCACCCTCACCCTCACAGATGCAGGACTATTGCCTCGGGCATGCAGCATACAGCAGGGCAACGTATGTAAGCAGTGTGGCCCAAACGCATCCGGGGCGCAGCGGTATCAGTGCAGATGCCGTCGGATTTTCGCCCATGAACGGTGGAGGATTCCACGTGGTGGAAGATGGCTGGGTTCGCTTCGCGACCGTCGGGGTTCAGAGGATGCCATCCGAGCAGGCCGTCAGCAAGGGCGCCCTCGAGGGCGCGAAGTTATTCGCGCTTCGCGCTTCGCGGTTCGGCTCCGATTCCTCCTCATCCTCCTCTTCTCCCTTGGGAGGCGGCGCGAGAGCGCGAAGTTATTCGCACTTCGCGCTTCGCGCAGCGCGAAGCGCGAAGTTGGGAGCCCTTGGTCAGTGGAGCCACTTCGGGAGGCGTGTGGACTGGGCCCTCTCCCTCCTGCTGCTCATTCGTGCACCCTCCGATGCCGTGCAGGTCCTCCGCGGACGCCGTGCCCGTCCAGGACGGCGCTCCGTTGAGCGTCACTGCTCTTGCTGTTCTTCTCGGGGAGGAGGAGGAGGAGCAGGAGGAGGAGGAGGAGGAGGAGGAGGCGGAGGAGGAGGAGGAGGAGGAGGAGGAGGAAGAGGTTAAGGAGGAGGAGGAGGAGGAGGAGGAGGAGGAGGAGGAGGAGGAGGAGTGATACTGGAAGACAAACTAGACGCACTCGCGCCAGAGACTGACGATGGAGAATGGGGGTGAGGATGGAACGGAAGACGGGGGGGGGCAGAGGGGCGGGAGGTCTAGGAGGGGATGGGCACACGGGAACACGGCAAAGAGGGGAAGGGGGGGGGGAAGCAGAAGGGAGCAAGGATTGGGAGGGGGGGATGAAGACGAGTGGAGCGGGGAAGGCGGACCTTGGCACGCACACTCTGGTGCCCATAGCGGGCAACCGTGCTTGTCTTGATCCCTCTGCCACTTCTGCCACCTCTGCGGGCCGAGGTCCCTGTGTCTTTCATCTTGCCTCGGTCGAAATTCCCTTGTTTTCATCACATGAACGCAAGAGTCCAATCGCTGATGTGTGCCAGACGCGAAAACATGGAAGGGGTGGGGGTGGGGCTGGGAGGGGTGGGGGTGGGAGGGCGGACGAGGACCGGCCATCGGGCCATGTCGGCAGGGTGGGGGGAGGGAAAGGGTGTCGGTGGTTCAGAGATGGGGTCCTGAGGGATTGGGTTCTGAGGACGAGGTGCCTCAAGCAGCGTAAATCCACCCTTGGATCCCTTCCTGTCCTCAGGAACCCATCCCTCAGATCCCCAGCTTTGAACCACCGAGGAAGGAGGAGGAGGAGGAGGAGGAGGAGGAGGAGGAGGAGGAGGAGGCGGAGGAGGAGGAGGAGGAGGAGGAGGAGGAGGTGGGGATGCCCCCCTCCCCCTTCTCTCCCTTCAGGGAAGAGGTGGCCGGCGCCAGATGAGGGCATGCTGGGGCGGGTGTGCCCCGCCCTCCTCGCCTCACCTCTTCTCCGAGGCGGGGCTGTCGGTGACTAGTGCCCGGCGGCTGCTTCGCGCTCGATCCCAGCGAGTTCTTCGATTCGATCGGAGGCTCCCCATCCTCTTCCTCTTCCCTGCTCCTTTCTCCGTCGTGTCCTCCCACATTCCACGTCTGGGGTTAATGTTATTTCTGGGACGCCTCCTCACTCACTCACTCACTCACTCACTCACTCACTCACTCACTCACTCACTCACTCACTCACTCACTCACTCACTCACTCACTCACTCACTCACTCACTCTCACCTCTTCCTCCTCACTCTCATCACTCTCAACACTCAGATCACTCTTACCCAGGCGCACTTCTACTCTCACTCACTCACACTCGTATCACTCATCATATCTAGACTCGCTCACACTCAGAGTCTCTCACATTCAGACTCGCTCATACCCACATCCAGTAATAGTCAGACTCTCTGCTACTCAGGTCCACTGATGCTTACATTTTCTGTCGCTAAGATCCACTGGTACTCAGACTCGCGTGCACCCAGGCTCACTCATTCACCGACTAGTCCCACACAGATCCACCCATACCCAGCTGAGCTGCACTCATACTCGCACACGCACCACTCACAGCATGATCATTCACACTCGCCGTGTGATCACCGCAACACAGCAGGCGTGGCTTTTGGGCACCCCAGGGGGGTGGGGTGGGGGCCGCCAGGGGGTGCGACACTCGCCCGTACGCGCCCAGACTTTGGGATTTCTCGGGCGCTCCGCTCGTTGTTGGCTTCCCCCCCCTTTCCCACCCCTTCCAGACTCGTTCCTTTTGAGAGCCTTATCATCGCCGCGACATAGCAGGCGTGCCAGATTGGGTACCCCAAGGGGAGGCCGCCAGGTGCCGCGCTCGCCTGTTCGCGCCCAGATCATGGGTACGTCACCGCCTGGACCGATCGTTATTGCGAAGCACTCGTCGACATCCCCGGCCAAATCACTCCCCCTCCTTAGCCCCTCCCTGCCTCCCTGCTTCACGATCTTTCCCCCCCTTCTCTCTATGTCTCTCGTTCTCTTTCTCTTGCTCCTGGCCATCCTGTGGTGTTGGTTCTTCGTTTTGAAGAGACAGCGCTCCGCGTTCCACTCATTCTCCCGCTGCCCCCTCCCTGCCTCCTCCCCTCGCCTCTGCTCTCCGCATGGCCCCACAGGGAGCTCTACCGAAGGCCTCAGTGGCAGTGGCCACATGCGTCCCCCCCACCCATTCGGGCATACCCCTCACACGTTTCGTGGCCTCATGGAGAGCCCCGCCGAAGGCCCCAGTTGCAGTGGCCACATGCGTCCCCCGCACCTATTATTTCGGCATACTTCCTCACACGCTTCGTTGGCCCATGTTGGGCTCAACCGACGGCCCCAGTGGCAGTTCTCACATGCGCCGCCCGCACCAATGTCGGCACACCCTTCACACGTTTCGTGGCCACATAGGGGGCTCCACCGACGGCCACAGTGGCAGTTCTCACATGCGCCCCCCGCGCCCATTTCGGGACACCCATCACACGTTTCGTGGCTCTATACAATAGGGAGCCCCACCGAATGCGCCAGTGGTAGTGCTCAGAGGCGCCCCCCCGCGCCCATTTCGGCACATCCCTCACACGTTTCGTGGCCCCTATGGGGAGCTCCACCGAAGGCGAAGATGGCAGTGCTCACATGCACCCCCCGCGCCCATGTCGGCACACCCCGCACACGTTGGGAGTTCACCGCATGCCCAAGCGGCAGTTTTCACATGCGTCCCCGTACCCAGTTCGGCATGCCTCTCAAACGCTTCGTGGCCCCATAAGGAGCTCCACCGAAAGCCCCGGAGGCAGTGCTGTGCTCACTTTGCTTACACTGGTGCTCCGCGCCCGTTTCGGCACACGCCTTACACGTTTCGTGGCCCCATAGGGAGCTGACTACTGACAACTGCATCATTACTCACAATTGCATGTGATTGGATCCTTCGCCAGGATCGTGCCCCCCCTCTCTCTATCTTTTTTTCTCTCTATCTCTTTTGTTCTCTCTCTCTCTCTATCTCTCCCTATTGTTTTGTGTGTGTGTGTGTGTGTGTATGTTTACGTGTTTGTATGTGCTTTCAATTTTTTTCTCTCTTTCTCTCTCTCTCTCTCCCTATCTCTCTCCCACTATCTCTCTCTCTCTCTCTCCCTCCCCCTTCCCCTCCCCCTCTGCCTCACTTCTCGGTTCTCTATCCTGCCTCCTGCCCAGACCTCCGATCTCGTGTTTTTTTTTCAGCATGGGGCTGCCAGAAATCCCGGCCCCTTCCTCTGGACGGGTTCTTCGTTGTCCGGGCTTCATCGGGGGCGGAAAAGAGGGGGGTGATGACTAGGGGGGGGTGGATATCATGGCGTGGGCCATGATATTTCCCCAGAGATCATGGCGCCTCTTCTTGTTTCATTACGTCCCTGGCCCCCCAGCTGGGCCGCGCACATGCCGCCGGTCATGATTTGCACCCCCCCCTCTTGGACACCCCCCTCTTGGCCGCTCCCGATTTTTCAGACACGGGACCAGTTGGCCGAACTCCGGGGCTCGTACAGGAAGGGTTATCCCAAGGTGGGATTAGGGAACATGCCCAGCTGGACACCCACGTTTCCCTCCTCCACGTTTACGTCCCCCCGACGAACATAGCTAAACATTCCCATAGGTGTTTTCGAGACGTCAGGGATCTTGGCCCCTCCTCGTCTCCCAGGGGGCCCAGTTCTCGATTGCTTGCGGGGCGAACCATGCAGAGGGGCGTGACAGAGCTTTCTTTTCGTTGCGTCGTCCACGGTTCACGCACGACTGGGGTTCAGAATTCTGTTTTCAGATCGTTGGACAGGAGTAGGCATAGTTGGTCCAGGAGAACGACGCAGCCCCTGCTGACCCAGAAGAGTACCCAGCGTCCGAAGCGTGCCGCCACCCGAAGAATGGCCGACGTCGGAATCGCACCAAGCTCAGGAAGATCGAAAAGGGGACGGAAGCAATGTCCGAGGCGGGAACTTGTACATGACCACTGCCTGGAGGCTCAGTTTTCGGAAACCTCGGCAGGCGGTGGATATGGACATATTTGGGCCCCCAGGGGCCAACATATGTCCATATCCGCTGGCCGCTGGGGCACCAGGGCGTCGGCTTCCAGGCAGTGAATCAGATAAATCCCCGCCTCGCAATGGGGACGAAGATCGAAAGCTGCCTGTGCCAATCTTGAGCAGTAACCGCCGTCGCCATCGCTGCGGACGCCGTCCCCACGTACCGCAGCGCGCCTGACCGCCCCACGGCGACCCGCCCTGTCGGTTTGGGGCAGCACCTGGCTGCTGGGCGTCGCCCCCCCTCGCTGCCGCCCTCGCCCCGGGGCGCCCCGAGCGAGGCGTGCCGGCCTCGCCCCGACAGTGGACACGCTCCCTGCTGCGTGTGCGCCGCCCCCGCAGGGGCGACGCGCGCGCTCAGAGATCTCATGGCGCATGCCCAGCGGCGGGCGCTCGCTGGCCATAACCGCCTGCGAAGCGCCGTAGTGCAGGGTGGCTGCTCGGGTGCACGCCTCCCAGGAGGACACGCCGTGCCAGCGTGCCCTGCTGCGCCCCGCGGTGCCCCCACGAGGCCGCTCTTCGGGCGCCTCAGCGCGGGAGCGCCTCCGCGCCCCGAGCTCGCAGGAGGCCAACGCCACGGCCAACGGCAACCAGAGCGCCGGCGCAAACGCCAGCGCCAACGCGACCGGCGACGCCGCGCCCAACGCCACGGCCAACGGGACCGCGGAGGAGGAGGGGGAGGTGGGCCGGGCCTCGCCTTCCCTCGTCCTCGCCGTGCGGTCGTTCCTTTTCTTCTTCTCTCTCTACCTCTTGGCTTTTGCTTCCCCTCCTGCCGGCGCTGCGGCCCCCGGCGCGCTCCGCGCGCCTGGGCGGGGGGTTCCAGCTCAGATCCAAGAATTCCGCGCCTCAGCGCCAAAAGTTTATGCTTATGGCAGTTTTCCTTGTCCCAAGTGCTTCCCCGATCCGTGGACCTGGCGCTCACGCGCCAGATCTCGGCCACGCGCAGAGGGGGGTGGGGGGAGGGGAGGGCTTCTTAGGAGCACCCCTGCTTCTTAGAAGGCGCGGCCCTTATCTATGGATGTATGGCTGGCGCCTTCTAAGAAGCAGCCTCCTTCCAAGAAGCCCTCCCCCCTCCCTCCACCCCCTTGTGCGCGCCGCCAATTTTATTCTCCCGAGTGCATTCCCCGATCCGTTCAGGCCGAACGAAAGTGGGGGATCGGGAAAGGGGGGGGTACGAAATCTGCTGCATGCAGCTGGTTTCGGCCCCGCCGCTGGGCCACTTCCTCGATACACGGGCGCCTCCCGTCGCTGGGAGGCGCTGGGAAAATCAGCTACGTGAGCTGAGTCTCTACCCTAAACCCTTTGCTATCCCCCCCCTTTCGTTCCCCCCCAACTTGGGCTGCGCGTGTCGCTCTCCGCCGATTCTGGCCCACCACGCTTTTCGGAGCGCCACGCACGGTCCGCTCCTTGTCTTCAGTCGGGCCTGTCTCTCTACAGGAGGAATGTTCAAACATAGTAAAGCAATAGCCTGGGGACGTTTTTTTTGTTTGGTTGTTGTTGTTTGTGTTTTTTTTCTAATGTATATATATATATATATATATATATATTGTATATAAATAATATACATATATATATATATAATATAAATTATTAAAAAATACGATTTTTTGAATATTTTGGGGTATTTTTGCGGTACTTTGCATTTTTCCGTCCAAGATCCGCCTGTAGGAGGACACGCCCGACCCAATTCTTGCCCCCCCCAGCGTCAGCGTCACGAGCTTGCCCGAGCTTGCCCGAGCCGCGGAGCGGAGCGACGCGCCGTTCGCTCGCAGGGCACGGCGTGTCGCGGGGCCGCCGCCGCGACACGCTGTGGAGAAGCGCTTATGTTGGCGTGTGCCCGACCCCCTTTGTGCCCGCCCGCTCCCAGTTCCCCCCCCCCTCTTCACCCCACGTCTAGGGGGGGGGGGGGCGGCGCGGGATCGGGGAGTGCGCCGTGCCCCAGGGGGCAGGGCAGCTCTTCCTGGGGGCGGGGGCGTCCAGGAGGGATGATGAGACCAGGAAGGGGGGGGGGGATTTCGTGGCCAGGGCCATGATGGCTCCCCAGATGGCCCCGCGTAGTACTTCCAGTGCGTACCGTGGCCCTCCCCTCCTGGGGCGCGCACGTGCCTCGAGCCATGATTTGCGAGCTTCCCTCTTGGACGGCCCCCTCTTGGGCGCACCTCCGCCAGCGCACCGATGTGGTTTCGCGCGCTCTTTTCCAGTTCTGTTGGCCGCATGGCCAGCGCGGGTTGTTGTTGAACGGGAAGGGTGGAGTAAATGGGGAAGGGAGGGGGAAGTGGAACGGGGGGAAGGGCGAGGGGGAGAGTGGATGGAGGGTACAGGGGGAGAGGCAGCGGGCGAGGGAGACGGAGGCGAGGGGAGGGGAGGGAGGGGGAAGGGAAGGCAGTATGGGGGGGGGGGAAGGTGCACGGGAAGTGGAAGAATGGGGAGGGTGTTCAACTCCGAGGAAGGGGTGAATGTGATGAGGTGTGACGGAGGTCGGGTGCACGGAAAGGGAGGGCAAAGGGAGGGAAACGTGCGATGGGGGAGGCAGGGTAGATCAGAAAAAGCGCGCCAGGGCTCGATCCCAGCATCGGCAGCAGCATTGTTGGCAGCGGCAGTGTCGGCAGTGGCAGCGGCAGTGGCAGCGGCATTGGCAGCAGCGGAAAACCTTCCGCCCTGGAGGAGGAGGATGAGAAGGAGGATGATGAGGAGGAGGGGAAGGTCGGAGGAATGAGGAGGGAGGACGATGATGATGTTGATACTGATGATGATGATGCTGATGATGCTGATGCTGATGATGATGATGATGATGAAGATGATGATGACGATTATGGTGATGGTGATGATGATGATGATGATGATGATGATGATGATGATGATGATGATGATGATACAGATGATGATGCTGCTGGTTATGATGATGCTGATGATGCTGATGATGCTGCTGATGATGACGACGATGAGCATGATGATACTGATGCTGCTGATGATGAAGAGGCTGATGATGCTGATTCTGATGATGACGATGCTGATGCTGTGATGATGCTGATGATGAGGTGGATGATTTGAATGCTGATGATGCTGCTGGTGATGTTGAGGATTCTGACGAGTAGGATGATGAGGATGAAGATGCGGATGCAGATGAGGATGAGGATGATGATGATGCCTATGTCGGTGATGATGCTGGTGATGATGACTATGATGATGACGATGACGATGACGATGACGATGACGATCACGATGATGATGATGATGATGATGATGATGATGATGATGATGATGATGATGATGATGATGATGATGATGATGATGATGATGATGATGATGATGATGATGATGATGATGATGATGATGATGATGATGATACTGATACTGGTGATGATGACGACGATACTGATACAGCTCCTGATGTTGATCATGATCATGATCACGATCACGATCGTGATGATGTTAAGGGAGCAGGACGCTGAAGA